ATATAAATATTTCATATTGACTTTAGTAAATATTGCCCCCAAACCTGTAACACTTAGGATTAGTTGTCTGCAATAGAAATATGAGCCACGGGTGAAACTTTGAATTTCATCTCTCCCTCCCTCCCTCCCTCCCTCCTTCCTCCCTCCCTCCTTCCTCCCTCCCTCCATCCCTGAGACATTCTCATTGTAAAGCCCTGGCTGTCCTGGAATTGCTATGAAGACCAGGCTGGCCGAAACTCAAAGAGATCCACTACTTCTAGTGTTTGAGGATTAAAGGACTGTGCCGCCACACCTGGCAATAAGTTTGAATTTTCTACTAGTCATATTAGAAAAAATAAGAACAAGTAGTTATAATTTATGTATTTCAACATAATATGTCCAACATACCATTTCAACATGTGATTAGTGTAAGAAATCATAAATAAGATATATTTTACGTTCTGTTTTTGTATTAAATCTTTGAAACTTGCTATGTACTTTATACTTAAAGCTCATCTTATGTGAACTAGCTGTATTTCAGGTACTCCACAGCCTCATGTCATGTGTAGGTACTGTATCAGACAGTCTAGGTCTGCCTCAAAGGTACCTAGTTCATCAGTATAAGTATCTGTCTTCTATTGTTCTGTTTATAAATAAGACTCAAGGTTCAAAGACTGGGGTAAAAGCCTTCTAGCTCAGAGAGGCTGGGTTGCAATTAGCTAACTTTCTCTCCTTGCTGGTGTCTCCACAAGACCCATGCTTCTGCTTCCCTAAACCAGAAAAGGCTGCGCCACTCCAAACCCCACCCTACTACTTCCTGTGTCTGTCTCTCCCAGATGCCCTCTGATACTCTATGATTACTTTCTGTCAAGGAGTTGCTAATGCAGCCTCCTAACCCAAGGTTAATTTTATTTAATTAACGCAAATGCAAACTCAGAGTTCACAGTGTGATCGGATGTCCGTAAAGCTCTGTACTGGGTATCTAACCCTGATCCCTCTATGTTAGTGGTCCTACCTTCACAATCTTGCTTTGTTCTTCCATCTTTATACTCTTTTATTTTCTGTGCATTTCCCTCTTTTATGTCCCATGTATGTCTCTCCTTCTAGCTCGCCAGTTCCTTCCTATACTTTGCTGAGATTCTCAGGACAGAGAGCATTAACAGTTTGTGTCGTCCCCCCCCTTTCTCTCTCTCTCTCTCTCTCTCTCTCTCTCTCTCTCTCTCTCTCTCTCTCTCTCTCTCTCTCTCTCTTTCTCTCTCTCTCTCTCACACACACACACACTCACACAAAAGAGTGTTATGAATAGAAATGTGAACAGCTCTAAATAATACCCAAAGCATGAGGGAAGTAGACATTGTTTTTATGGAAGGTCTGTAATTCTTGGTGATAATGGAATCTGTGTTAATGGAAAAACTCATCATGGGTGTACAGTTTATAGACTTTCTATCTGATGGTCTTGAAGTGTTGAGTAAGAATTATGGGGTGTATTAGTTACTTGTCTTGACACTGTGCTGCAGTGACATGCTCTTGATAAAAGGAGTTTAAAGGAGGACTTACTTTTGCTCACAGTTCCAGGTTACAGTCGTTTTACCAGGAAGTGGGCTGGTCACATCGCATCTGCAGCCTGGAAGAAGAGAGCCATGAATGCTCCTGCTTAGCTCGCTTTCTCCTTTTTTATTCGGTTCAGAGCCCAGACCCATAGAATGGTTCTGCCCATGTTCTGGGTGCTTCTTTCCACCTCACAATAATGTAGATAATTTCTCAGAGGTGTACCCAAAACCTTGTCGCTTAGTTATTCTAGATTCTGTCATGCTGACAATATTAACCATTACATGGGGTTTTGCTATTATTAACACTAGGTTTTTAGTCTCAGAAGCCAGAGTGCTCAATCATTGAAGAGTAGGTATACAAATTCAGTTTTCCTTACTAGGTTAGAACAAAGAATTTTAGTCAGTTTTTCTTACCAAACTATCCAGATAATCAGTTCATAGGATTTCTGTTTTCAAAGATACTTTATAGTCTGTATTTTACTTCTCACAATGCCTTATTTAACCCTAATTGTAAATGTACAAATACACAGTGCTTTGTTTAGCTTTTGCAAAGTAAATAAAAATGTCAATGCCAGCAATCATAAAATGAAATGAAGAAAGCAATTACATTACAATAGCACCACAAAGAAAGTATTAAGGACTAAGTTTAGCAAAAGAAGTATCAAACTGGTACTCTAAAACTCCAAATGAGGCCTTTGAGACGGCTCTTTGAATAAAGGTGCCTCCAGCAGGCCTGTGACCTGAGTTTTTCCCAGGGCCTGTGTGGTGGAAGGAGGGAGCTGTAGTGGGGAGCTATTCTGTCTATGACCCTGAAGCATCGCCCCTAGAGAGACCTGAGTTTTTCCCGGGGCCTGTGTGGTGGAAGGAGGGAGCTGTAGTGGGGAGCTATTCTGTCTATGACCCTGAAGCATCGTCCCTAGAGAGGCAGCAGGTTACTGTTCCACCTGCTTATGATCTTGAAGTGCATGCCCCTGGGGTGTGGCCTCTCGGTGACCCTTAACACCTGAGGCACATAGGCATTGGTCACTCTATGCTCCGTGGTGGACTTGGATGTGAGACTGATCCAGGCTGCAGGAACAGCCTTCCAGAACCTGTATCAATTCTGTTCCGTACAGTGGGTTTTTCCCCTTAACAAACCCTTTGCCCTTTAAACAGACTGTGGATTTCTTGCATTAGGGAGCTGGCTATTTCAAGGTTGTCATCTGATCCCTCCTCAGGAGCCTACACATGTCCATGTACACACAAAATAAATAAGTATGTAATACATTTCAAAATATATCCCATTTTCATCTGTTGGAAAGCAATACTAAGATAACTTTCCAAATTGGACAACATCTGATGCCTACTTTTTCAGAAATGAGCAAGCTGATCTTCAAATTCCTAATGAATACAATGGGCCCATTTTAACCGGAGTGATTTTGAAAAACAAAGTTGTAGTCCTCAAACTTGCTGATTTCAAAACTAAATACATAGTTCTGGTAATCACAGTGTACCTCTGGCATAGGCTTGATTTCTAAATGACTGCAGAATTCTGGAGTCTGTGGGGTGTTACACTACTAATATCATCTCACCTGCTTGTGATGACTTCCTGCCACGGTCTGCATGTAGAGAGGAGAGCTGCCTCTGTGCTTGTGGATTGAGGACTGAATGGAAAAAAAAAAAAGGAAATAAAAAGAAAGGAAAGGACATGACTGCTCCTTGGTATATGGTGGAGGAGAAGGTTTATTGAAGATATGTGGGAGAGCATAGCTAGAGGCAGGGACATCTGGGAGAGTATAGAATGAACCTGACCCTGAGCCATGTGGGGAAAGTTGAGAGGGGGAGAGAGTGGGACCAGGTACACAGCCAGGAGGTATAAAGATTGCAGGTCACCATGTCTGCTTTCATATGTTAAATAGGCACCTCAGCCTTTTGTCCCAGGTTTGAAACCTAACGGACAAACTTAGATTTCTTGTGCACCCAGGAAAAACTGATATTTGGCTCAGTTGGTGGAGTTGCAGGAACAGCCTTTTCTTGCTCTCTGTTGAAAAACATTGGAGCTACTACCATAGTGCCTGGCCTGTAAAAGTGGGCTATGTTTTTGTTTTTCTCCATTTAGTATTTGTGTACCAAGCAGTATGCCTAGGATCTACCACATCTCATTTACTTTACATGTCTGACTCTGAGGCGAAGGGATTGTTATATGTTTTTAGATGTAAAGCAGGATTTAGTGCAGAAATTAGAGGCACAAGAATAATGTCTAAATTACCTTCCTTTTCCTCCCTCCCCAATAATTTGATTGAATCTGTTTTGCTTCTCCAAAGAGAGGATATGTATCTTTGACATTATAAATGCCCTCCCTCCCTCCTTCCCTCCCTTCCTTTCTATGATGGTAGTGAAGATGATGGTGAAGGAAATATACCATCAAAGAGGGAGTGCTTGAGGGCCCTGGCTTCACTTTGGATCACAGGTTCCTCCAAGACCTGGTGACACTGTGATGCCATGGCTTTGCTGTCACCTCCCCTTTTTCTGTTGCTTCCAGTGTGGGGAGGTAATAGCTTTAAAGGGTTGAGTTTTCTTTTTAACAGCAGTTTCGTTACTATTAATTCTTTTAGAGCCTTATGTAGCTCTTATACTAGGGACCTTGAGTGTAACTGCTTATGCTATTTATATTTGTCTTAACATATTCCTATGTAAGCTTTCTCCTCACCTTTTTTTAAAAAGATTTATTTATTTATTATGTATACAGTGTTCTGCATGCATATGTGCCTGCAGGCCAGAAGAGGGCACAAGAACTCATTATAGATGGTTGTGAGCCATCATGTGGGTGCTCGGAATTGAACTCAGGACCTTTGGAAGAGCAGCCAATGCTCTTAACCTCTGAGCCATCTCTCCAGCCCTCCTCACTTTTTAATATACAACAAAAGGTGAACTAAAAGTTTTTCACCCTTAAAACTTTATTTTTGTTCACTTCCCGAAAAAAAATTATGAGATGGGCCTGAACAGTGAGCCCAGTTAAAACAAATGTTAATTCTTCTCTTCAGCTGTTGTCTCTCAGTTTCCAGGATGTGCCATTTGTAACTCATTATATTCATCCATCCATCCATCCTTCCTCTAGCCATTCCCTGCAGCAATGTACCCTGGGGCCTTGCATGTGCTAGACAGGTGCTGTGTCTCTGAGCTGCATCCACACACTCCTGGTTAGTCTACATTCTCTCACATGATAACTGATAGAAACAAGTTAAGTTTTATGCCTTGCTTATCTGCTGAGATTTTCATACTTTTCCCACGTTCCACATGTATGATTATAAAGGTGGTGGTAAACATCTAGCCATTATTGTGTTCACAAACACCACTAATACAGAAATAGTGCTAAAAGTTAAGGAATAGGAACATGGAGACGGGAGCAGGATTGTTTATACATGGAAGGATATTTTTATAATGCCTTGATTTCCCGTTAGTAGGTACTTTACGATGTTTATTGCTCTCTAGTTATCAGGGAATATGAAGAACAGAAAAAGCATCCAGGAACCTAGATTTGATTATTACAGCCATGAACTTCCTGATATTGACCTCAGTGAATGTGAATTCCCACATGTCATTGAAATTTATGATTTTCCACAAGAATTCCGTACGGAAGACCTTTTGCGGATTTTCTGCAGTTACCAGTAAGTATTTGCAAGTGGTTCCAAATGATAGACAAGGTGAGAGAAAGTCTTAATACTCAAGAAAAAAAAATTATGTCTTTTTAAGTTTTTCAGTCATTTATTTTAGCATCGGGTTTGTGTATTGTTCAGATCCATTAGAAAGCCTGTATATCAGACTAGTCTTCAGTTCCTTGAAAGGGCCAGGTAGCCTTTGTAGACATTTACAATGACCACTGTTGATGACTCCTAATTCTGTCTTGTAGATACATTTAGTCCATTTATATTTGTTGTAATTGTTGATGTATTTGAACTTCTATCCAAGCATTTGCTTTTATATTTGCCTGGCCTCTCTCCTGAGTCTACTTCTCCTACCTTTCCCTCCCTTTTCTAGACCTATGGATTGACTTTTTTAACACTTCATTTTTTTAATGTAATGTTTCTGTTCTTTGGTGGTTGCTTTAGAAATTATAAAAATGTGTGCTTAAACTGTTAGTGGCTAAAACTAATGTTTTTCCTTTGCCTCTTTCTAAATACTGCAAGGTCTTTTTAATTCCATCTCCTACCTTGCACCCAACTTATATGCTGTTGTAGCTGTTGGATTCATTTTCTTTCTGAATGAGCTATAGTCTTTATCATTTAACTTACTAATGGTTTTCCAGTATCAAACTCAGGTGTTGTTACTTTAATGGTTTTATATCAGTTTCATTCTTGTTACAATGATTTTTTACTGTACAAAGGATAAGTCCTGGGTCCTATGTATGCCAGATAATGCTCTACCACTGAACTATACCCCAGTCCTTCATTCTTGAAAAGGTTTATGTTGTGTGTATATTAGTAATTCTAGATTGGCAGTTATTTTTCTCTCAAAACATGGAGATACCCTAATGCATATGGCTTTCTCTTTGGGTGAGAGGTTAGCTGACTGTCTCCATGCCATGTCTGATTGTAATCTCTTTTCCTCTCTGGATGCTCTTAAAATTTTCTCTTTGACTTTGATATTGATCATTTTCACTGTGATGTGGATTTTGTAGGGTTTTTTTTCAGATATGCCCAGATTGAGATTATGTGGGCTTATTAAATCAGTGGTTAATATTTTCATTGATTTTGGAAAGATCTTAGACATTGTCTCTTTAGTGTTGCCTCAGACCCAGTCGCCTTTCACCCTGTCCAAGACACAAATTGGGTGTGGAGTAGATTTTCTCATTTAATTTTCTTGTTACCTCTTTTTTGTATATTCTATCTCTTTTTGCCTCAGACATTCTGAATAATTTCTTCAGTTTGGGGGCTCTAGTTTATCTATTCCAAGATGTGCTAAATTGTTAAATATTTATATTGTATTTTAAAAGTTTGTTTTATGATACCTTGAATTTTTCAAAAAAATATTTTTAAAGTCTGCCTGGTCATTTTTTTACAGCTTTTCCCCCTCCATAGACCTTCAGTTTTCAGTATTTCTTCCATTTCCCTAAGTACACCGAGCATGGCCTCCTGGAGCCCTTCTGTTACCTGCAGCCCCTTCGGCTGTCGCTTGTTCCTGGTCAACGTCTGTTCACGTCTGTGCTTGCGCATGGTGTCTTCCTTTTTGAGGATTTAGTTATATTTTTAATGGGAGTCAATGTTTTTGGGGGATTGTATTTATGGGCATTAAGGCCAATGAAAAAAGAAGATTTCTCATCAAACCTCTGTGCCTTTTTGTGTGCCATGTGCCAAAAATGCTACCAGTTTGAGTCTTCAGATTAAATTGTAATCTGAGGTTTTTGTGACCACTCAGAAAAGTCAAATGGAGAGTGCTTTTGTTAGTTGTTGTACATCACAGATGCTTTATCTTGACACAGTTAAGTGTCTGATTACTTAATGTGCTGTCCAGTCAGTCACGCCTCTCTTCTTAGTTGCTAGTGTGTTGATTGGACAGTTCTTCTCAGTCATCTCATACTGCCTTGTCTGTAATTTAGAGTCAAATCTGTAAAGAAAGACAAGAAATTTTAACACATCTTCAGAGTTTTCTCAGTGAATAGTTCCAGGGGCTGTTTTTTAGTGTTGTTTTTAAAGTAACTTTTCTTTTGTCTTCCAAATCATTCAACTAACACACCCCACACCCCACCCACCCACCCACCCCCGCCCCAGACAGGGTTTCTCTGTGTAACAGTCCTAGCTGTCCTGGAACTCACTTTGTAGGCCAGGCTGGCCTGGAACTCCCAGAAGCCCGCCTGCCTCTGCCTCCCGAGTGCTGGGGTTAAAGGCGTGCGCCACCACCTGTAACTAACTTTTTTGCTGGTGTGTGTTTGTTTGTTCTGACAGGTTGCCATGTAAAACCAGCTGGCCTTGTACTCCTCCCTGATTCACCCTTTGGAGTGCTGGGATTTTAATCACAAGCTGCCATTCTTGGTTCAGTTAGGTTTATAGACACAATAGTTCTTCTTTGCACTCATAATTCATTCAGTTTTGTATTATTAAATATAGTGAGGAGTTCAAGTGTGTTACAAGTGCTCTTCAGAACATTTATGCTGACTCTTGGTATGTAGGTAGGTGGTACATTTTGGAAGAAGGTAAAGGGATCAGAAGTATACACATTATTTCTAACTTACAATAAAAAATAGACTCAGGAACAGAAAGATAATCCAGAAAGTTATTAAGAAAAAGATGTTCAGGGTCTAGAAGAAAGTCAATATCAAGGAGTATACTTTAATATTTCAGTCCTGCTATCGGGCGGTGGTGGCGCACGCCTTTAATCCCAGCACTCGGGAGGCAGAGCCAGGCGGATCTCTGTGAGTTCGAGGCCAGCCTGGTCTCCAAAGCGAGTTCCAGGAAAGGCGCAAAGCTACACAGAGAAACCCTGTCTCGGAAAACCAAAAAAAAAAAAAAAAAAAAAAAAGAATCAAGTCTATCTGATGCTACAAATTTAAACTTAAAATTCAGTTTATTTATATCCCAGATGCCAAGATTATGGACATGCTCTGTCAGATCCCAACTTTACATTGAAGTTGTAAGATTCTGTTTCAGAGCATAGCTCCTAATTCTTTCGTAAAGGATCCGAGAGTGAATATTTCAGGTAGCTCTGCTGTCTCACTAGGACAGCCATAGACAGGATGTAAACAATGAGTGTGGTTGAGAAAGTAAAACTTTATTTATAAAAATGGTTGGCTTTTGTTTTTGTTTTAAGATAGGATCTAGGTAGCCCAGGCTGGCCTCCAACTCCTGATCCTCAGCTTTCAGAAGTGCTAGGGTTTACCACCACATCTGGCCTGTCTTATTCTTAAGGAAGAGTTTTAAGTGCTAGCATAGATGAAATTAACTAGCAGTTGTATACTTGTTTTATCAGTTAAACTCCATTGGGGAAGACAATTGAAAGAGAGGAGTGAATGGGTTCTGGAAGACATTTGATCTATACTATAACCTTACTGTAAATGTGTAGTGTAGGTAAGTCGTTAATTCAGTTTTGTTAAGACCAGTGTCAAGTGCTTTTCAATTCCTAATAGATCCTTCAGAGCAGTCAATAAGACTTAAATCTCAAATTTGAGCTATCTTAGATTATCATTGATAAAGTTAGACTGTCATTAATAAAATAAGGATCATTTTGTCCATGTCCAAAATTTCCTCGGGATTATTGGGCTTTGCTGCTATTTTTGTTTTTGAGACAGTTTCTTACTATGCATCCTAGGCTAGCCTTGAACTCAAAATCTTCCCATCTTCACCTCCCCAGTACTGGGTTTTAGGATAGTCAATTCTTTTGCGTCATTTGCTTCCCTTTGCTTTGTCTTTTCTTAACATATTAGAGCATTTTCTATAAATCTAAATCCGTTCTCAAAAGGATTTGAAAGGACTGTGAAGTCTCCAGGGCCAAGACAAGACTTTTAGCTGTCAAGGTCTTTCCCATCTTTTTTAAACTCTGCAGCAGAGACTCTTACTGTGGTCATTTTATAGCATGGTCTAGCTTTAGAAGCTCTCTAGCTAATCTTTCAAGTTTCCTTTATTACTTTTTCTGTCAAGGAAATTAAGAAAGGAAAGCTATTTTAGCATTTTTCTTTTATAGTGATTTATAATTTTTTAAAGGTCATAATGCAGAAGTCTATAGTAATACTTGAGTCAAATACCAGAGTCAACTTTGCTTCATCAACATCATCAGTATTAATCTCCCTAGTGATTATTGCTATTAATAATAAAATTAATGAGCACTGTTGGGTTTACAAGTTGCCTTCTGAGTGCTGATTATCTTCTTGGCGTCTCGTGGACAATCTCATTTCTATTTTCCTCTCCAATGGCTAGCTTTTATAGTGCCTCAAGGTGCTAGGCAAGCTGCCAGGAGAGAAAACATACCCACAGTCTTACCCAGTTGTGAACCCCGGTAACTACAGCAATGATTCCTGCAGCCAGGTACGCCCATTGGTGCAGTAGTAGTGCACGTGTATGGGGGAGTGCTGGCCACCACTGGCTGTCCGGCTAGATTTAAGGCCTGCCCAACAGGAGGAATTCATGCTTCATACTGTAAATGACCAAGAAGCCAGGGCTGGAGGGGTCCTAAGCCCTAGGGGAGAGTCTATTACTGTCATTTTGCTAAATTGATATGGTATCCAACACCTAAATACTTAGGAGTTGGGGGGTGAGGGGTGGATTTAATCAAAATAAAATGTATTCATGTATTAAGGGAATTTTTTTTTTTTTTTTTTTTTTTTTTTTTTTTTGGTTTTTCGAGACAGGGTTTCTCTGTGTAGCTTTGCGCCTTTCCTGGATCTTGCTGTGTAGACCAGGCTGGCCTCGAACTCACAAAGATCCGCCTGGCTCTGCCTCCCGAGTGCTGGGATTAAAGGCGTGCGCCACCACCGCCCGGCTTAAGGGAATTTTAAGAGTGTGTGTGTGTGTGTGTGTGTGTGTATCACAATCCTGATATTCTTTGTGCTCACTGTATAACTCTGTTCTAAACTAAAAAGGTATTTTTTCAAGTATAAATGTTCATTATTTGATTCTTTTTTTCTTGAATTTTTCTGGCTAGCTATGGTTATTCCTAACCTCCCCCACCCACACACACATACCTTATTTTCCTTCTACAAGAAAGAGTAGTAAGCATTTGTGAGTACAGTTGTATTTTTTATTATTTGACTTGTTTGTTTTTTTTTATTTTTACAGTTTGAATCACATCTCTAGCAATGTAGTACCCACCCCCAACACACAGTTTATATTTGCGTCAAATCCAGGTGACCCTTCCTGACTTCCTGAATTCTTCTATACTTCCTCTGGCTTCCTTCTTCATCCTTTCCCATTTCTCCTCATAAGGACATCTCTTGAAAATAGTGCATTAAATACTTTACATCTCCAGCAGATTTGTGAAGATTAATTAGTTGGCATCTATAAAATGCTCCCAGGTAATTCTTTATGATGGTATTATTGCTTTTAAATTTTAGTGGCTTCTATGTGCCAAGCTGTTTTTATGTCACTATTCCCATTCCTCTATCTTATGAAATGCTTCGTAAGACTGTTTTAAAGACATTTCATAAAACAAGTTATAAGAAATGTAAAAATTGTTTTCTTTTGTTACAGAAAGAAAGGATTTGATATTAAATGGGTAGATGATACACATGCCCTAGGAGTATTCTCCAGTCCAATCACAGGTATCTGTCCAGTGACTATCAGGAATTCCAGGTCCCTCTTACTGTTGATTTGCTCCTTCTTCTTGTTCTTATTTCCCTTCTATTCCAGCCAATTGGAACTTTGCTCAGCCAGTATCTGTGATAGAATAAATACTGTTTTTTGAGACAGGTGGCTTGGTACCCACATGTTCTCTCCTTCTTCTCTTTAATCCAGCATTTGGTATTTGCAAAGGTAGGCACTTCATCCCAGGCTATTTGCACACAAAAATGTCAGGTGTGGTAAAGACCACAGTGAGACTAAATTTTGCAGTTTTTTTCCTTCAGACAAATGAATTTGAAGTAGTGTATCCAGTGAGATTACTGTAGTAGCTACTCTCTGAATATTTGGTTAGTCCTTTGCACACATACGTATCCTGGGCTCATGATGGAACTTATGCAGAGGAATCCACAGTAATCAGAGGTGCTAGCTTGCTAGTTCCTGTCTGAACCATCTCTAGAGCATGGATTTTCGTGGGTCAGATAAAATATTTTTGGCTTTGTGGAGCAAAAAATCTGTCATTACCTAACCCAGCATTGTAGCAGGAAAGGCAAAAAAGCTTCTGTCCTTACCTAACCTAACCTGGTTATTGTAGCAAGAGAGCAGCTACAGTGTGCAAATGGGCATGGCTCTGTTTCATAACGTTTTATTTACAAAAACAGACAGTCCATTGGCTGGGTTTGGTCTAATCTCTGTTCTAAAGTGATCATCACCCAACTTACTGTTTACAGATGTTCTGTATTGTATAATCTTTTTTCCTTGCCATGAAAATCAACAAACATAACGTCTAAGAATAAATGCTTTCTAAGAAATAACCCTAAATTTTCTTCTGCATCACTTTACTTCCTTATGTCTGTTCTTCCTTGCAGCTCGTGATGCTCTGGGTATTAAACACACCATGGTGAAGATTCGGCCCTTGTCACAGGCCACAAGAGCAGCCAAGGCCAAAGCTAGAGCTTGTGCTGGTGAGCCCACAACCTCTGCCTTTGTTTATTAATGGTGAAGTCACTGTTCATTCCAGCAGTTTCACACCACCCAGAGCTCAATAGACACTGTCTGTTTTATGTTAATACCTCTACTGATACCTTTTTAAGGACAAAAGGAAAAAAAACATGTTGGAAATATGCCCTTTGAACGAGCAGCCTCTTGAAGTGTGGGAGAGCTTATGAGCAAGCAGTGCAGTGACCAGATTCTGATGGCATTTCAGTTGTTTGATAGAGTTGCTGTGAGGCGTTGTGCTAGTGCAGATAATGCAGCCAGGGTTGTTTGTGCTTTGCCATACTAATTTCCTCGGATCATCATCTATCGGGTTGTATTAATTACTGCTGATACCGCCCTTGTTAGTCTGTTTTGTATGTTAATTACTGTGTTAAATCACTTGGAGCTGTAGTGGTTTCTCTTTCTTACTGCCTCTTACTCCTTTTTTTCCCAGAGTTTCTCCAGCCAGCCAAGGAGCGCCCTGAGACTTCAGCAGCTTTAGCCAGAAGGTTAGTCATCAGTGCCCTTGGGGTTCGAAGCAAACAGAGCAAAACGGAACGGGAAGCAGAGCTCAAGAAACTGCAAGAAGCCCGAGGTGAGTTGATGGTAGTGTTGTCCGGTCCACAGGGTTCACTAGGAGGCACATGCTGAAAAAGAGAACAGGAAAGAATGCAGTCCACTCCATTCTTTGAAACTCCCTTTTCAGAAGCCTCTCAAGTGTAGTTGTTCTCAAGCCTTCGATTCAAGAGAAGCAGTCAGGATTTGTCTAATTAATTTACTGTTACTGAGAGATAGGCCCCACCATCTCGGCTCATTCCTGGCTTTTCTACAGCTTACTCCACACGGAGAGAACATTTTCCTCTGAAGACTTTGCTGCTTGCTATGCTTTTCCTGGGCCATGACAGTGCCGTGGTGTAATCAGATGGCTTAGGTCTTTGGTAGAAGGCAAATTAAGGAAGAGCCAGCAACTGATAGTGGTGAGAGTGACCGTAAGAGGGATTTTTGTCGTCTTAAGACAGTCCGGAGTAGATCCACCTGTCTTCTGATTTCTTTCTAACACCGAAGAGTTCTCAGAAAATATTTCTACAATCCACAAGCAGAGTTTTTCTTTCTTAGAGTTTGGAGTCAAGCTTAAAATACATCTTCTCTTTATAGACTGTTGAGTTCTTTGTGAAGACCTGAACTCGGGCTTGATACAGAAGTATTTTTTTAATTAGCCTTAAGCTTTAGACAGGCTCTTTGCCTTTACTCAATATCTATAGAATCAGTGAAGACAATTCTGAAAATTTCACTTACCAAAAATTGACTTTTTTTTTCCTTAAACCAATTGAAGTTTCAAACTCCTTGTTTATTGCCGTCTAACAAGGCCATTAATACTTCCTGTCCACTCTGCTTTGGTGATAGCAGGCAGCTCTTGGACTCCCAGCTGCACTGGCCAGATAACCAGTGAGGGAGAGCATCATGGCAGGTGTTAGAGTTTTAGAATTGAACCCAACTAATTTACCTTAATGATTATAATGAGGCAATTTTGTTTTTGTTTTTGTTTTTTCTAATACATTGTTCATTAAAAGGTTTCTTAGAAAGAGGAAAGGATTACTTTTTTATAGATGGTAAATAGTAGAACTGGATTAAAGTAGAATGAGCGGTATCCTTAATCCTCTGTTAATTGGTTATCTCTGATGAAAATGACTCTTGGGTGGTGGCTACAGTTACCTCAGAGGGTGAACGAATAAAAGGGCTTGGGGATGTAGCCCAGTTGTAAAGCATTGCTTAACATGCCCCAAGGCCCTGGGTTCAATCCCAGCACTGAACAAAAGCAAGCAAAAAATGATGAGTGGAGGGTAATGACAGTGGTATCTAGTGAAGCTAGACTCCTTTTGCATATGCCATGCCCTCCCTATAAATGTGATATCACCTGTGTCTCTGCGAATACTGCGGCTGCTACTTTGCTTGGATAACATCTGAGTGTCCTCTACTTCTCGGCAGGCACATCAGCATGCGCTTGCTCTTGAAGTGTTTGTTTTAAATGCGTTGCTATCCAGAGGACATTTCCGTGGTGCAGTTTAAAAATGAGACTGTTGGCTGAATGAGCACCCTATTGATTTTATTTTGTTTTTGAAACAGAGTTTCACTCTGTAGTCCTGGCTGGCCTAGAACTTACTATGTAGCCTAGGCTGCTTTTGAACTTATGTCAGTCTTGCCTCCGATTCTGGGGTGCTGGGATTATAGATGTTAGCTGCCATGCCAACTTCTCTGTTGCTTTTTTAAAATGAAGAACATTTCATTATTATTTATTTAATTATCTGAAATGATATTCTCACTGTTGCTGTACTTAAACTTGTAACCATCCTGCCTCAGCTTCTCAGCTTCCCTGGTAACTGGAACTCAAGAAGGCTTTTGGTTGTAATTAGAGACCAAGGATAGGTTCTATCAATGTGTGGATTACAGAAGAACCTTCCCTCATTCTACATCCGGGCTCTTTTATTCTTTGTGTCTGAGAAAATGAAGATGGGAAACTTCTCTTTCTGGCATCTTTTGTATTGAGCATTCTCAAGGAGTTGTATGGAGTCCAGGCATCTCATTTCAATGTGTTTTGTTCCTCTCCCTAAGACTTAAGAGTCCAGTGCTATCTGCATTAAGCAAAGCACAAAACAGGGATTGCTTTTAGATATTTTAAGCAGTTGTTTTTCCTTTCCATATTTTCGCTCTTCCATGGCTCTCTCTCTTCTCTTTCTCTCCGTGTGGTGTTGGGATTGGATGCAGGGCCAGTGCAAACAAAACACTGTCACTGAGCTATACCCCAGTTTCTCCTCATTTTGTTTCTGAAAATTTTTAGTATAAGAAATGCATAAGGTTTTGTTGATGAAAGAGACTGGAAGGAGGAGACTCATAGTAGTTATTTTGATGGTATTGTCTTGATACCTCTGATGCAAGATGCTTTCTCCAGTTTAGAACTGGCCCCAAGAAGTTAAGTAGGTTACTCAGCTAGGAAATGAGAGGAGGGATTTGAATGTGGACTTCTCTAATTAAAACTCAGACTTTTTTTCTACCCCTTTGACGGGTTTTGGAGACAACTGCTATTTTCTCTCTCAAGAAAAAAATATTACCTTCGTAAATAAATGTTTTAAGTCCCCAGAGAATGTACTACAGTTGGCTTCTTTTTAGTTATAGATACCAAAGGCTAACTAGCAGCTTTGACAGAAAAATTTTCTTCAGTATGACTTAAATCTGTGTGGTAGTTTAAACCTGTTTCTCCTTCCTTTTTTCTTAGTAGGAATCCAGAACATCTAGATGTCGTTCTATACTAGCAGCCCCTTACAATAAAGGCAAGGGCAGGTCGCTAAGGAAATAAAGAAATCTGGACTGTAATAGAGCTGTTGCCATTTAACTAGCTGTGTGGCTTTGGGCAGGTCAGTTATCACTCTTTGTTTGCTTTCCAACTAAGTGGAAGTGATTCTTGCCCTGCCTAACATGGAGAATGTTTTGAGCATAACAAAATGTGTAAAAATGTTGAGAAAGTGCTTTGCAAATTCAAGATACTATTCTGTTTTCTGTGTTATAATATGACATGAGGCAGTAGTGTGTGTGTGTGTGTGTGTGTGTGTGTGTGTGTGTTTTATGTATTGCCACTCTCCCATTACACATTAACAGATGTTGCTGATCAATCATGGCATTCTCCTTTGGCAAGTACTGACATGCCCATTGCCAGTTGATGAGAATTAGCATGTACTGAAAACTATACACTATTCTGTCATAGATCCTTTCATTAGTATTGTATAATAATCTGACCCTTCTTTGTGCTGCATGAAGAATTCTGTTGACTCCCATGTGGTTGAGGACAAAAAAGGGTGCATAACGTGTACTCATTGACTCTCTGTATGAATGATGTTGGTTACTTTAGTTTGTCTTGATAAATGTTATGGTATTTTACGCTGAGCTTTCTCTACCACCACCCTCAAAAGAGTTGAACACACCTAATCTTTTGGGTTTTTCTGATAGTATTTTTCTGTCCTACTTGGATTCTACTAACCTTTTAGTGGGACAACTTCTACCTCAGTCCTTTAAGGGAGAGTCACAGACTAAAGCTAGTTCTGAAAGAGTTGAGAAGGAAGTGCCAGATCAAATCACACTGTACCAAGAGGAGAAAACCTTTAGTCCATGGTTCTTGAACATGAGTAAAGTCCCTTTTGGTCCAGCAGAGTACACAACGGATCAGAGCTGTACTCAGAGTGGGAAATGGAAGTGCAGGTCATTCTTGAGTGCAGAGCTGTACTCAGAGTGGGAAATGGAAGTGCAGGTCATCCTTGAGTGCTCTGGACTTGACTTAATCAGGTGTTTTCAACCAGTGATTCATGCTGAATGATGAAACCACATGAGTGAAAGACTGAACACAGGAATATCTGTACAGTTTTTCCATGTTCGCTATTCCAGATATTTGATTGCTGACTAAAATTAGAAATGTAGAGCATTGCTTCTCAAAATAAGCTGCTCTCTCATCTTCAAAGTCTGCTATAATTGTGTTTCATAATTTCATTTCATTTTATTCTTAGGAGTAGGTGATTAACTGACTGGTTCTAAAAGGCCAGCATTTGGTTCATAGGCTAAAGCAGAGGAAGTAAATCATTTGATCATATAGTTTGATTAGTTAAATCACTGTGAACTTGGAATCATCTAGACAGTACTTGCTCTTTTGTAGTAAAACAGATTTACCCATGGTAACTAACTCTGGAAAACCTTCTTATGCATGCCATTAGTGTACAGTGCTGCATTACTGACCATAATAAGATTTTCAGGGTATTTTCATGTTTTATTTTCTGTCCTGTTATCTGAAGTTTACTTCATTTTTAACCATATTATAAATATGTGAAATTTTTTGCAGATGTGTAATATTTACCTTTTTTTTTTTTTTGGTTGCTTCTAAATCAGAGACAAAAATGTCAACAGTAGGACTAACTGACCACATCAAGCCTTGCTAAAATAAATAGCATGTCGCTCCTTGTGTTTAATACACTGCAAATAATTTCTCCAGTTAAATGGGTCCTGATGAGGTCTCGATTATATTTTCCTAGTGTACTGATGCGTATATAAATACTTGATAAACTTTATCTGAAGCCTTGCTAAAATTAAGAGGTTACGTAGACTGCTTACTTCTCCTTGATCTACCAAGTCTGTCAGGGAATAAAGGAAGGCAATTAAATTTGCCCAGGCTTGTTCTTCACAAAGCTTGCTGATTATTACTCTGTAGGTGGCTACAAGTGGATTTTGTGCTCATTTTTAAAGTGTCCAAGGAGATTTTGAAAGTCTTGAATTCGCAACCCTTCCCTTTCCTTCCCTTTTCTTGTCAAATAAAGCATGACCTTAGAGTGTTCCCTTTCCAGTCGTCAACACTTCTCCTCCCTCAGTGAGAAGCAGAACCTTCCCTCATTAAAATCAGCTTGTTCAATAGGCATTTCTGTCCATTTACTTTGCATAGTGGGGAGAGAAGTCTTCAGGGCCAGTTTATGTAAATGTTTCAGGTTAATCATTCTCTTCTGATGTTCTAGTCTCTCTTAGTTCCTTGCTCTCTCAGCTGCTGTGGGCTGTTTAGTCAGTTGTTTTTTTGTTTTATTTTTATAAAGGCAGTGTTAATGACGGCTTTTTCGTGCAGCCAATCATCTAATTAATGTCTTGTTTTGATAAAGGAACATGTTTCTTTCATTTAATTTTTTCACATGCTTTTCCTTTTTGGTATTTTCCGATGTCAGGATAGTAAAAAGTATGCTGCTTAATAAGGATCTGGGTTTCAGCCTCAGTTTTTCCTGATTATTTTCATTAGCCAAGTTACTCAGGCTCTCCGATTCTGTTCCCTATCAGAGCAGGGAATTACTTACAAGTCCCATTTGGGGCCGGGCGGTGGTGGCGCACGCCTTTAATCCCAGCGCTCGGGAGGCAGAGCCAGGCGGATCTCTGTGAGTTCGAGGCCAGCCTGGGCTACCAGGTGAGTTCCAGGAAAGGCACAAAGCTACACAGAGAAACCCTGTCTCGAAAAACCAAAAAAAAAAAAAAAAAAAAAAAAAAAAAACCAAGTCCCATTTGACCATATTCCTCTGTTTCATATACTTTGTGTTTTGTGTTTGCACTATTTCTTTGTGCTTCACAGTTTGTTTTCCTGCTCTTACTAGTGTTTCATGCTTTACCACAAGAATTTACACACGCACACACACACACACGTACACTCCAAGAGTTGGGGAGTTTTTTGTTAGCAAGCATTTAACACTAGACTTACTTTTCAAAACTGTGAACTTTGCGGACTTTACAAAGATGACACGGATTCTGTAATATGTTTTGTAATACTGAAAGCAAACACATTCTCACTGATGTGTCTTAAGCAAAGTGTGTGACGAGTCACATTAGTAAGCCAGGGGGCCTCGTATCTGGTTAGATTTGCCACCAGCAATGAATTTTGGCCCAAACTTTAAGATAAAAATGAAAAGTTTGTTTTCAGAGCTGTTTTGATTTTGGACTCATGAATTATATAGGTTGGTCATATCTTTCTATTGTTTATGGATAATATTTCTGATTTGTTTCCTATCTTAATGAAATTTGTGAGTTCTAGTAACTCATTTTCCTGGTTTCTTTGTTTTTCCTTGGAATTCACAACGAGTCTTTGACTAATTTCATCCAAGACTACTTTGTATTTAAATCTTACCTAACTTGTCTCTTTTTAAGACTCAAAACTATACTACTTCCCTAAGAAATCCTGGCATCCTTTGGATAAGCCCATTATCCTTGGCAGTGCTCATGAAGAACCTCAGCCAACTCAAGCCTGCCTGCTCTGCAGCTGAGTCCTAACATCAGTCAGCCTTCAGCTCACAATTTGTTGATCCTCATTGTTTGCCTCATGTAACTTTGCTGCTATATTCAGATGATGCCACAAGATGGTGCCCAAATAGCAAGGAATTTCTCTATCTCACATTCCCACGTGTCAGTCAGTTTCCCAACCAACTTCTTTCCCTTGAAGTATAGTCAAGTATAATTCAGAGATTTTGTAAGTGATTTTGCTGATTTGAACATAGGTTGAAATAGCAGGTGTTGATTCTAAACTCACTTTGATTTCTATAATCCACCTGGTTTATGACTTGAGGGATCTTTTATAGACGTTGTCAATCTGGAACAAGAACTCCTAAAAAGAAGCAGTTAATTAAGACTTATGGTATGCATTTTCTAGTATTAAGGTGAATGGCTGTCAGCCATGAATTTAGAACCAGTATCATGTACATAAGAAACTATTTTTAGATTATGATTCATAACAGAAGCAAAATTACGATTATGAAGAGGTAGTGAAAATACTTTTATGGTTGGGATCACCACAGCATGAGAAACTGTATTAAAGGGTCACAGCATTAGGAAGGTTGAGAACCACTGCTCTAGAACATTTCTCATTCCTAAAGTGCTCTGCGAAATACTGGCACAAGTTTGCCTCTGAATTGTTTCTCATTAAACTTTCAGTAGGGAAATAGTGAAACCCACGGGATGCTGCTGCCATTTGAGCAGTTTGGAAGATTAAAACATATTGGTGGCTCAATGATTAAGAGCACTAGCTATTCTTCCAAGGACCTGGCTCAGATTCCCAGTACCCAGCTCTTCCAGAGGACATGGGTTTAATTCCTAGCACCATATCATGGCTCAGAACTATTTGTAACTCTAGTTTCAGGGAACCTAACATTTTCTTCGGGCCTCCAAAGTCACTAGGCATGCAGGTGGTACACAGACACAGAAGCAGACAAAACACTTATGTACACAAAAATAAATAAAACATTCTCAATCCCTATTGAAATGTTAAAAAAAAGTTCAGTACACAAGGAATTAGGGGCAATTGTTTGAAAGTTCAAATGCACCTGAAAAGTAGACTTAAGCACCTACTAGCAAGACTAGCAGCTGAGTCCTACTAGGTTCTGACTTATCAGTATAGCTTAATTGATTTTATTTTCCAAATCTTTACTTATTATTCAGAAACCATCCAGTGGGGGTCTGGGGAAATGGCCCATTGTGTAAAGGTGCTTATTGGCTCACTGTGTTAAGACACTTGTCACTAAGCCTAATGACCCGAGTTCGGTCTTCAGAGCCCACCTTGTAGGAGAGAGCTGACTCCCACAAGTTGTCCTCTTACCTCCACATGTCATTGTGGCGTGCACACAAATGAACATACATACTATAAAATGCTGGGGGGGGCAGTTTACAGTGGACCTCCTAGTTTGGCCTCCTAGTTTGGCTTTGATACAGTCTGACCAAAACCAACTTGGGGAAGGAAGGGTTTATTCCATCCTGTAACTCCCAGGTCATAATTTATCACTGAGGGAAGTCTGGGCAAGAACTCAGGGCAGGAACTAAAGCAGAAGCCATGGAAGAATGCTGCCAACTGACTTGCTCCTCCTGGCTTGCTCAGGGGTGGCACCACCCACAGTGGTCTGAGCTCTCCTTTATCAATCCCTGATCAAGAAAATGCCCCACAGACTTGCCTACAGGGCAGTGTGATGAGGCATTTTCTCAGTTAAGGGTCCCTCTTCCCAGATGACCTAAGCTTGTGTCAGAGTCACAGGAACTAAGCAGCACAGTTATCCTGGGGCCAAAGCTTAGTGGTCCAGTGTGTGTTTAACGTGTGGAGCCTTGAGCTTTGTCTTCAGTGTGACAAAAAAGAAGAAGAAGAAAAGAAAATGGGGCAAGAGGCAGAGAGAGGAAAAACAAAAGAATAAAAATGTCTTAGAGTAGTATCAATTCTATAAAGCACTTGGAAAGTTAAAAAGATAGTAACCTTTGGACTCAGGTGGGCTGATCAGGAAGCCTACCTGTCTCATAAATAAAGTTTGTCTTGTAATTTGATTAAAGGAGACTCACTGGCTGTGTGAAATATATAATCATATGATTAACATCGACTTTTATTTACAGAAAGAAAACGGTTGGAAGCCAAGCAACGGGAAGACATCTGGGAAGGCAGAGGCCAATCTGCAGTTTGAACATCACTTACAAAAGGGCGAATCTATGAATTAGGAAGTGTTTTCATATTCTTGAGACAAGAGGATCCTTCCAGAGCCGTGTACATGCACATGAGCATGTTAAAGAAAACGTGAACAAGACAAAAGACTGGAGGGTATAGCAAGAACAAGGAGTCCTATCCTCACCCCTGTGTTCAGAACTGCCCTCCTATGGTAGATGTTAAAAGGCACCGTCAAGAGAGAAGAAAAATGGAGGAAGTGGCTTCCAAGAGTCCTCTGGGGAGAAGAGGTCATGTTAGTGTGGGTCACACTTCCACGGAGTCTAAAGCGAGTGCAAAGCAGAACAGAGGATTCCGAGCCTGCAGTGACAGAAGGTGGAGGCCCACAGGGCAGGGTATTCCTTAGTACTTCACCAAGTTGAGACCAGCAGAGCGGGTGGTGGGAAGCCTTCATAGAGACAGAAGGGCCTGGTGTACTCGGCAGGTAACGTCTACACTGCCGGCTCCAGAACTCTAAAGCCAGGGAAGTGCAGCACACGTGGCTGTTTGGACCCCTGAGTTTGTACTAAACTTGGTACCTGGTACTGCTCCAGCTGCACAGAAGCCAGGGGTCTTCCCCCTTCCTTCCTCGCAGTAAGCCAGTCCTAGGGCGCTGAGTGCCAGCTCCAATTTAAGCAGTAATACGTTGTGAGAGGGAGAGATTAAAGGCTATTTTATAATATAATCACTTTGGTGTTTATAAGTTTTGCCCCCCCCCCCAACCCAACCACAGCGAAAGCAGAAAAAACAAAGAAGAGCCCGTAGATGAACTCTGTAATCTTGATGTCTCTGATGCCATGCACGGTTTAAACAGGTGCTGCTTTATCAACCCCCCGGAGTATACTCGCTGAGTGACTGCCCTGGTATTCCTGTGTGGCAGCCTTGACCTCCTGATGCAGTTTTCTTGCCTTTTCCGTAGCTGTCCACGGCATTTGGCAAACAGCACCAGATCATCCAGTAGAGCGATGAGCTGCCAGCATGAAATAAACACCTCCAGTGAGCAGGTCCCAAAAGGACGTGGACAGGTCAGAGCCACCAGATCAGGCCTCTCTGTCTCACATCTGCCTTCCTCGTTGTTTGGGAAGTAGTTCTGTGCTGAAGAAGTGGAAGGTGCTAGTCTTGACGGTGCTGAGGAGGCAGGAAGTGGTCTCACATTGTGCTTTCATCTAGGGTGGAAGCCTCCTCTATCGATGCCATGACAGTGGTGGATTATTAGCTTTGTCTCGAACATGGTCCTCTGGGTGACACTGGCCTGGGGTCTGAGTCTCGATCTGTCTGTTGCTAGTCCAGTCTTGGAGCCCTGTCGCAGTTCTTCAGATTGTCTCTCGTTGCAGATTTCCTTTCCAGTGGCCCTATTCTGTGAGTGCCTCCATCCCATATGTGGGGAACTGTGCTGTTTTCTTGATCCTCTCTTTCCACTGGAGGCTTTGGCCTGTACATGTGTGGGTTTGTTCTCTGTCTTCATAGAACAGACTTCTCTAATATCGGTAGGTCTGTTTGAACAGTGGGTGCATTGAAAGAAAATGCCGAGGATTCTAGCATTGGCTTTTGTTGTTGTTATTATTATTATTATTATTATTATTATTAATTTTATGTGTGTCGGTGTTTTGCCTGAGTCTGTGAATGCCTGGTAACTGGAGGCCAGAAGAGTGTGTCAGATCTGGACCTGGAATTCCAGGTGATCATGAACCACCATGTGGATGCCAGGCATTGTACCTGGATCCTCTGAAAGAGCCAGGATCTTGACTGCTGAGCCATCACTCCAGCCCCAGCATTGCTTTATACTGAGAGGTGTACTTCATTGTTTTGGCAGCCTGCCCCGTGTTAGATAGCAGACCTATAGCCACACATGTGCTGGATGGGACAGCACTCTACCTCTGAGCTGTACTCCCGGGCCGTGTTTGGATTTTTGAAGACTAGGAATGATCTTGAGAATCAAACAAACAAAATGACTTCTCTTGTCACTTGTCTGTGAAAGTACTCCTTGTTAACTGTTTAGTGCCCTTTAAAGGCATTATTCATGATAATGTACAGCCCCATATTATTACTCAGTTTTTAAATAAGTCTCATCATTTCCAAAACAAATTTTTTTCTCATTAAGTGTTCTAGCAACATATCTTCCATCTGATGATCAGCTTAACTCTCAGGGTTATTCTTATAATTCATCTCAGAGAATAAATTCTTTAACTTAGCATTTGAAAGTTATGGTGTATTGCTCTTTTACTTCTAATTGAAAATGTGCTTTTTGCTGACATTATTCCAGTAGTTGGGCTTGCTGTGTATTGGCCAGTGGTAAGAAGTCCTGGCCCAATACAGACTGCCTTGAGCTCGTCCACGTAGGAGCAAATCCTTTGTTATGTCTAAGCTGAACTTTTGTCAGAGGAATGAACAGTGTGTGGTTGCCACTGTCTCATGGACCAGACCTCTCTAAAATAAGAGCTGCTTAAATGATGTGGCTGCTATAAAAGAAATATTAGCTGTTGGGAGTGACATCTCATGTTTTATGCTGTGTGTACATGTTTTGTGTATGGTGAACATGTAAATCTCAGAGTTACGTAAAATCTGTAGTAGAAAGTTACATTTCCTACAGAGTCTAGTTTTCTCTTCATAGCGTGAAGACCCTTGTAGCATTGGGAGGTTACTTTCTGAGGAGGGAGCTTCCTAGCACCTCAGGGACAGTTTACCTGAGGCCATACAGTGCCAAGGTGAACGTCTTCTGAGGTTTTGGTTCTGTCTGGAATTTGGTGGTTGGTATTCTGTTAACATTCCTCATCTAGTTATAAGTCATACCAGCCACCAGTCTTCCCGTGTCGTTCTCTTTCAACTCAGAAGTTTAACAGCACAGCCCTTGTGTAGCTTTTTCCAGGAATTAGAACTGGCTGACCTACCACCTGTGTGATGTGGGCAGGGAGGCTGAGACCCGTGCTGCCGGTTACTGTCCGCCTGACCTGCTTTTATGGCCTCTTGGAAACTAGATCTAACAAGAACCTGAGGGTAAGCTCCCTGCCCAAATCTAGTCATCAGTCACCACTCCCACCCCAACCCCCTAGCTAACTGCACATTCTTTCGCAGACCATTAGCTTCATGTATGAGTATAATGTTGTCACTGTTTGCTGGATCCAACAGGAAATCAGTCCTTCCCTTGTTTACCTAAACTGCTACACCAAAGTAGGCTTCCTGTGCCAAATGAAGGAGATGAGGGAATGGAGGAAATAGAAAAAGGCACTTTGTACTCACAGAAGATACCCCCAAAACATGTCCCTTTTCACTAGCGGGGTAGCTTGTGTATTGCGGGGAGGTGAGTACTGTAAATCAGCTCTGTCTGTACCATTCATTTGTTTTGTAGCCTCTATTATAAAAGTTTACGGTCTTTGGATTGTACTTTCTCACTCCTCCCCATCACCCCTCAACCTTTCTGACCCTAGTTTGAGTGTTGAGCCTCGGGAGGGTAATTGTAAAGCAGGTTGGTATCTGACTGGAGAAACAGACTGGGGTGGGCTGTCCCAAGGAATCTGTTTTGTGCATCCTCGGCCAGCTCTGGAGGGACGAGGGTGGAGTGAGTGCTGTGTGCTGAAGCTACAGAAGCACTGCTGGTCTGGTCTTTGTAGCAGTCCGTAGTGAGCAAACTTTATTGGTATTATAAAGACCTAGAAGGATCATCGGTGCTCATGTCATTGGAGAAAATGTCCAGACACACCCAAGAAGACCCTGGGGTCTTACATCACCTGAGCAGGAACGGAGCACAGCCACCTCACACACAAATAGTGGCCTTTCCCAGGCTTGGTCCTTGATGAAGTGTTCTTTCTCACTTCTGGTTTCCCCAGTCTTCTTTCCCTAACTCTCCCAGACCTGTCTTCTTGTTCCTGCAGAGTGACTTGATTGGCCAGCTTCTTCCCAGTTGCAGAAGTTTGTTTAAGGTGAAGTAGCCTTGGTGAAATCTAAAGTTTAGGCTAACCCTGCAATGTGGGTGATTCTAAAAGAGACTGGACTGCCTGCCAGATGTGGGACATACTGTTGTCTCTTTTGGCAGAGATCCTAACAGACTGAGTTTATGTGACCTCAGCTGTCCTCTTGATCTCTTGCTACTCTGCAGGAAAGGCTCTGTCTTGCTACTTCTGTGAAACTTGCCTCCCACCCCAGTCCCAGTAATCAGGGATGCTGATCCATCCAGAAATGGAGGGAGGCCTGAGGGTTCAGAGGTATTAGAAACACCTCTGTGTGTGACAGAATGAAGGAGAGGCTTCAGAGGGTGAGACATGGGTTCTGAGTGGGGATAAGGTGAGGGACTGCAGTCACCAACTTCTCTGCCAGCTGTGACTTTGACATGGTTATTTTGCACAGAGCTTGTAACGGAGAACTGACTCCACTTCCTGTGTTCTTTGGTCCTCGGTCCTCTGCTCCTCCAAAACGTTTACAAAGCACCACTTAGAGGGGGCCTTGGCCACAGTTCATCCCAAGGAACTTAGAGCTCCTGAAACTGGGAACTGTGCATCAAATTTTAAGATCGATTGAGTCTCCTTAAGGAAGAGAAGGCTTAGCTGGCCAGAGCCATGCTGTATAGGCCATAGGCACTTGGAAGAGGTCCAGAGCCACCCTGAGAGTGCTGCCATCCAGGTGGTGATTGGCCATCAAAAGGCTTCCTGAGCAGGTTCTTGGTGCTCCTTGTCACTGGCCCCTTGTCCTGTGAGTCAGGGCTCTGTGAAGGGCATGGCTCCAATAAACTGAGGTATCTGGTGTGTAAGCATAGCTGGGAGTGTGCAGCAATGGCTTCAGATCAGGTTGTTCCTGAGTCGCTGTTCCTGCTCTAGGGAGAGCTCTGCATTGGGTCGGTAGGAATCTCCTGTGGGCCAAAGGGAAATAGCTTAAGTAGTCAAACCCCTACAGCCCCTTTCCATCAGGGCAGTCATAGGCACAGACACAGTCAGTCTACTGAGTGGAAAGGGCTATGCTAGTTCTTTGCTCCCTCTCTAGGTTCATTCTGTGCCCTGGGGACTGGCCACCCTACTTGCCTTGTCCCCTGGTTTCTACCTGGTAACTCAACAGCAGCAAGGGGTTGGGAGTGGAAGGAGAGGCCAGTCATGTCTTCTGCTGTGGCTCTGCAGTGGCAGGGACTGTCTGTGACTGCAGCTCCAACCAGCATCACCCTCCTCCATGGCACTAGCTGTCGCCTGGCTTGCAGATGCCCTTCCCCCTGCAAGCTCACCTGGGACAGTAGTTTTCCATTCCTTTTATCTCTGGGCTCAGTGTCCCTTGTTTTCTGGGCCTCTCTGTGCTTTTGTCATATAAGTTGAGGTGCATTGCAGTTAGCCCTCACACTTGTGTGAGGACTCTAGTGGGCTCTGCCTTCTGGCATTGCTTGTCTGTTCTTGTCACTGCCCTGGGTCCCTAGCAGTCTGCATATGGAGGCTCTGTGTGCACAGTCCCAATTCCTCTCACGTTCTTGTTCAGAGTCAGCAAAGTCTGCTCAGTTACCCAGATGGGAAGCTTAGATGCTCCCTCTCATTCTCCCCGATTTGTTGGCAGAGTTACTTTTAAAACAAACGAGGCTAGGGATGTAGCTCAGTGATGGGGTGCCTGCCTAGTGAACTCAGGACCGCAGAAGAAATTTAAAAACAAACTTTGTTCCTTGACTGGAATTTGTCAGTGGTTCCTAGAAGCCCATGGGATGGAGGCATCAGTGTCCCTGTTTCAGGTGGAAACCAGAAATTGCTGGTTCAGTGTCGCTGAATCAGGACTCAAACCCCAGGGCCTTGGGATCCCCAGGATTGCCTTTCTGTCACAACACAGCCTCCAGTAACCCCTCCCTGAAGAACACCTCAGTGATCTGGAAGCTCGTAGTCTGTTTCTGTAAAAGAAAACTACCCAGGCAAAGTGAAACATGCCTTTCTCCAGGAGGCTGAGGCAGAGGGTGCCCCAAGTTCAAGGCCAGCCTGAACTGTATACCAGACTGTTTCAAACAAAAAATTTTAATTAAAAAATCTGTAGCTGGAGGGATGGCCCAGCAGTTAAGTGTATGCACTGCTCTCGAGCTCCTGACTCTGGCTCCCAGCATGCACTAGTGGCAGGGCTTCAGTGGCCTGTAACTCCATTCCAGGGGAGTCCAGGGCCTCGGGCTCCAGGGACACTTGACACCTGTGCACTTACCTTCACACACACATCATTAAAAATAAACCTTTAAAAATAGTAAAGGAGAGACCCCTCGGGGTGAGACTTCCTGTCTTGGGTTAGAGCGGTGCGGCTAGTTTAGAAGGCAGGCACACAGAATGCTCGTCTTCTGTAGCTCCCCCACTTCCAGAACCCCACTCCAATACCACTTCCTGATCTCATCCAGCTCCAGGCTTCTGCTTGCTCCCCATTTACTTTATACCCTTTTGGGGGACTCACCAGGTTAGGGGGATCTGTGTGCCTGTCCACCCTCGACTGCACTGAGTTCCTGTATCCTGCTGTCAGACACATTGACAAGAAGGCCAGCTCAGCCCTGCACCTTACCCTTACACAGACCCCCGTAGGCACTGTTCAGCTGTAAGATGGAGGGATTCTGTACAAAAGGCAACTGCCCCCTTCCACTGCCTCTCAGACACTACAGTTCTCTCTGCCCTGTTTATAACTGGAGGTGACAGGAGAGACCAAGGGGAACTTCCTGAGAAGGCAGTTCAGGAACACTACAGGAAAAGGGACAAGTATGGACAGGAAAAGCATTTTAAAAGGCATACACTACTACACCCAGCCAGGAAAAGAAAATCTTGATGTGGCTTGAGAGGACAGGAAAGATTTTGAGAGAATGGAAATTAATTCATAATGGAGTGTAGTTGCTGGGTGGTGAGGTTGATGGTCTGACCAATGTCCTCCATCCATAGCCATCTGTCCATACCTACAAGTCACACCTGGGTGCACCTTTAAAGTTTCCAGCTCCATCCTATGTAAGGCTGTTGTCACCATGGCTGAGTTACCTGTATGGCAGTTGTGCAGCCAGACTCGCTGCCCATCATACTTGCAGCGGCAGCGCAACATGTTGTTGGAGAAATCTGACTCTGCCACATCGTTTGTGGGGTTCACGACCACCTGCAGTGAAGGGGACAACCAAGTGGGCGGTGTGGTTTCCGAGTGAGTTGACATGTAGAGTTCTTTACACCTCACCTAGTATTTTACAAAGTGGTCTTTCTGTGCCCTGATTTGCTGATCCTTAGTCACCCCAGGAAGTACACATCAGCGTGCTTTTTCACAGATGAAGACTAGGAACTGCCCAGTGTCCACTGACTAGGGACTCAAGCCCAGAGCTGTGGGATCCCTGTGAGGGCTCTTCCCCTACCACACAGCTCCTAAAAGGGTTAGGGCTCCTGGATCCAGTGGGAAATCACCTTCCTCTGACCCCAGATCATCTGTAACTGCTGGAAATCGTCCTTACCTGGAAGATATAGTCCCCTGGCCGAACATCTGTGATATCCACCCACTGGCAATCGATGTCATGGCGGTACGTGTCCCAGCAACCTACAGCCACCCCCTGTTCCCCAAAGTTGGCACACGCATAACGCCGCTGCACTCCTGTAAAGGAGAGTACACAGTTACCATGGCATCAAGAAGGCATTGTGACCGGGCACTGTGTGGTCCTTCATAGGCTTCAGCAGTTAGTCTTCAAACTGGCTTTAGCAGCTCTGTTCTGCCCAGCACATGAGTTTGGGGCCTATGGTTCAGTTAAGTGACTTGCCCAAATAGAGGATTCATGCTGACTGAATTTGGCATGGGCAAACTACATCTGTGACAAGGACAGTGATATTTTGGATGCACTAGTAAAAATCCCTGTTGGTCTAAGAAGTGTGGTGGGGATTCTAGCCCTCTGGTGCTGATTCTGTCCCTCAGCCCTCAGAAGGTCTGGTTCACCTGGTTACATCAGTAAGGGATCGGACTGGGGGTACAAGTAGGAGCACATTCCCTGCCCTCCAAGAGCTGCTGGAAGTATTAAGCCTCTTTAAGGTGGTAGAGAGTGCTGGGGATTGAGAGGAAATGAGAGCTTTCCACTGAAGGTTTCAGAAGGCAGAAATGGAAGTTTTTGAATTGCCCTTGAGTGCTACTGCCAAGCTAGATTCTTCAGGAGTATGGGCTGTTGACCAGGAAAGAGAGGAGCTTGACCCCAAAGGTACTTGAGATCTGTTGAGAGTGCACTAGGAGGCTATGTGAATAGAAACTCACAAACCTGTGGGGCAGTTAGTGTCTTCTAGACAGAAGCTGGCCTTGTGCCCCTCGGCCACTTTGGAGCCATTGAGTGTGAGCAGGTCATAATGGGTGAAGACTTCGATGCTGTGGTAGTGCCTGAGGAAGAAGCAGAGCTGTCAGCCCCACAGCAACAGGAGTGGGTCACCTGGAGAGGTTAGCAGGGAAGGTTGAGGCCCCGCCATTACCCAAGGAGGGAAGTTGTAATAGCAGGGCAGTGCCCTTCTTCCCAAACTCAAGATTAGCCTGCTCACAGACTTCTCTGCTGGCATTCCCGTCAGGCAGCAAGGCACGACTGTCTCCTTTACCCGGAGTCTTAATTCAGGTAAAAGAGGTACAAACTGCTCCTGGCAGCCTTCAGAAGGCTGGGACCTTGGCTGCAGGGTCCAAGGTGGGGAGCATTAGCCCAGAGGTGGCCTCGTAGTGAAGAAGATGGGGAGAGAGTACTCCGTCAACCTGGGACCAAATTGCTACCATATTTTCCAGTCCAGTGGCAATGACAGCCCTGTGCATGCTACAGGAAAAGGTGCTTATTAACTCAGGCAAGGCCAAGTCCCCAAATCGCTGCCCAGGCCTCTCAGCCTTCCTACACACAGCTATGTCTTGAAAGAAAATAGTACAAATCCCTTCCACTCTGCCTCTGTCACAGGCATTACCTCTCCTCTTTCTGGTATGGAGCGTCCTTATAAGAAAGGATGCTTATTATTTCCTTCTGTACCAGACTGTTCCCTGCTATTCCTTTGAGGCTTTTCCTTGTTACTACAGGAACCTGCCAACCTTTCTGCAGAGCAAGCATCTTATTTTGGGTCTCCAGGTTTCTGGGGTCCCCACTTAACTTGGCTTCTGAAGACCGGGGCCACCTGAGGTCTAATATGGAAGATGTGTGTCATACCATGCTAGCAGAGACCACCTGCTGGCAATCACATCTCTTTGGAATATTGCTCTGGGCAACCGGTCCCATAAGCACCATCCATGTGGTTACATCCAAGGGAGATGTGAGGGTGTGGGGGCAGGTAGATGCTCCAGGGATCCCCTTGTCTCCTAGGGTAAGGCCAGCCAGGTGGCTAGAAAGGCAGACTTACCGGGACTTTACCTGAGGCCAGGGAAAACCAAACTGTTTATCCCTGGACTCTATTTTTGTCCCTCACTCTCTAGAGCCAAGTGTGGGCAGGAACTAACCTGTGGCACTGGTGCCAAATCCAGCTGTGGCGTCCAGCCTTGGGACGGAAGTCGGCCCGGCCAAGGTTGTAGATCTGTGAGGAGAAGCGCAGCAAGCGCCGGTGTCCGTAGGGCCAGTCCATGTGGTCAGCAGACTTCGAGAGGCAGTTTTCCTCGTGGGCACAATACAGCATGCTGAGTGGACGGTCCTCCAAGTAGGCCGTCTCTTGTACCAGCTGGGCATTCATCACAAGGTCTGGAGCAGCTGGGTGGCAGAGGGCAAGGTGGAAGGCACAGTGGGAGGGCAGCAGAGCCTGCTCTCCAGCGTGAGCGCAGACTCGCCGCCGCAGACTCCGGAAGGAGCGCAGGAGCCAGGGCAGCTGAGTCAGAAGGTGTGAGTTCTGATGCTAAGGAGAGCAGCCCATCCCTGTGACCTGGGAGCCGCTCCATTGCCATGGTTAAGCTTGCTGCTTTGGAGCCAGCATTCATTATTGCCTGAGCTTCTGACTGTACCATTTACCAGCTCTGTGACTGCTTAATGCTTGTGTGTCTCGTGTTCGTCATCTACAAGGTGGGAGTCATTGGTGATATTAGTAGGTGGTATCTGTAATGTGCTTAGAACATTGTCCTGCAGTAAACAGGAAATGAATGTAAGCTATTACATCTTTTTTAATCTTACAAAGTGATTTCAAGTAGCTTAGAGGGTAAAAGCCTTTCAAAGGCTTTACTGATACCTCACTCGGTTGTTTCAGCCAAGTCCCTGGGCCTCAGTCTCTCAGTGTCTCTTGGGCTGGAGTGAGAGGACCAGATTGGAAAATGAAGGAGGTGATCCTGGAGCCTGCCCCTCAACTGTGCTGTTCAGGCTGCCGAGGTGTGCTCTGTGCTCCCTCTAGGTGGTCCACTCTAGCCTAACCACTTCCACAGGTGTCCCCATGCATCGTGTTTCTCAGGCATCAGGGTATCTCCAGTGCCTCTCTGCATGCAAAAGTCCAGCCTGAGGTCAGCAAGATGGTTCAGCCAGTAAAAGTGCATGCCGTGCAAGCCGGGCGACCTGAGTTCAATCCTTGTATTCCAAGTGGAAGGAGAGAACTGACTCCCAGAAGTTACATACATACACACACAACAATAATAACTAATTTTTTAAAACTCCAGTGTGCCTCGTCTCGCTAGTCGGCTCAGCCTCTTCCCTCACTAAAGGGCTCTCTTCTGAGGTTCTACCGCCGCTGTCCTTCAGGTGTCAATACTGGCGTGGAGTGAGCCATTGCTGTTACCATGTAAACTCAAAGGAGAAAAGTGGCCTTTCTCACAGGTTTGGGGTTAGGTATCGGGGCAGAGGCACCTGAGGTGAGGCTCTGTGCTGACCAGAGTGGATGGGAACACTGGCTTGTTTCTCTGGCTGGGCTTGGAGTGCTATGCTACGCGGTGCCTATTGAAAGTCCTGTGGCTTATGTTAGAGAAAGCTGGGAGACGGCCACTGACAGACCTGAGCTCCTGAAGGAAAGGCAGCTTTCAGAGGGAGTGGGGGGAAAGCAAACAAAAAGATGTGAGAAAAGCCGGGGGTGGGGGTAAGTACAAGCTGCTAGTCCAGATGTGCTCAAGAGGACAGCTGCCCTGGAGGTAGTTAAAGGGACAGTCCAAGGCGGCCAAGCAGGGGGACTGAGAGCAGGTAACCAGCATGCTGTGAGGCCTGGGTGCAGAGGGCGCCACTGGCATCCCATCTCTTTCAGGGGACGGTGAGAAGGGTGGGCCCAGGGCTCTCCCAAGGGTGCCACACAGAGGGCTCACTGACAGGTTAGGATGTCTTGGGAGCGTGTCTAGGAAGAAGGTCAAGTGGCTTCCGGGGTTGGTGCCAGCCTGCAGCCTTTGGACTGGATGTAATTATCTTGGCTCCGGCCTTGTTGGTCAATGTCAAACAGATGCTGCTACCCTGAGAATCTGGGTCTATGGGGCAAACTCTTGCCACAGAATGGTCTTGTCCTCAAGCCTGCTGGGTAAACGCCACAGCTTGGAAGGGAACCCACAGCTCGGCCTTCGGCTCTGGTGTCCCTCACATTTGTGTATCCTCTACAGTGTATTTCAAAGTACTTCCTACAAACAACAGTAAATTCACTTTATGTTGTAACTCGGCGCACACACAGTTCCTAGAAAAACCATTACCCTTACTAAATGGAATGGACTGCCACGTTTTCTGTTCGGTTTCACTCTTCTGAAAATGTTGTTCACAATCCCCAATTGAAAAGCCCTGTTAGCTTCTTGTGCTTTTACGTTTTCTCAATTTTCATTCTCACAGAAACTCCATGAGGGAGGTGGGCAGGGCAGGCTTTGCATCTGGATAAGACAGATGGCTCAGCTGCACAGCTGGAGAATGGTGGCGCTGCTGTGTCCACTCCCTGACCCTGTCACCCACTGGTCCCATTACTCACTGTTCATGCAGGCGACTCCAGCTGAGAAGCGCCCCGGGCCGTGGGAGCAGTGCACAGGCCCGTGTCTCTGACACTGCTGAAGGGCTAGCTCTGTGCCCGAGCAGCGGACTCCGCTCATCACCACCTCTTTAGCCTCTGGTGTCCCCTGCCAGTACCAGGTGTCCTGGGGAGACAGCCAGCCAGCATCGTCCCGTCAGAGCAGAGGTACTGCAATTCAAGTCATTCTGATGCCCACATCACCCCATCCCCACCAGAGAGTCCAGCATAGGCCTTAAAATCTTTACTCATGAGAACCCTAGCTCATGGGCAATCCATATATCACATTTGGACCCCTCTGATGTTAAAGTTTATGTCAGTGGGGCAGTTTCCTGCTGCCTGTGGCACTGTCCCGTCCATCTCCAAGAAGGCAGCTCTGCTGTTGCAGCAGGACAAGTCGGACCTCTCATTCCTACTTGTGTGTCCCCATTCCCAGCCGCTCCTCACACCCCAGCCAGGGCAGAGCCCAGGCCTCTGAGTAAAGTCTGCCCTTGCCTCGCCCAGCAGGCCCGTTGACTACAGTGATTCTGCCTCTTCATCCTTTACCCTTGAACTCTGCGGCCCTCTCCCTGGAGAGCACACTGCAACCCTGGCCCCTCATTTCCTCAACTGGGTCAAACTTTTGCTGGCCGCAGGCCTTTCCACGGGCTGTTTATTCTTCTTCCCTCTTATCTGGCTAACTTCCATTCATGATTCCCACAGATGAAGACAGATTGCAGGCCAACTGAGCAGCCTTCCCTCAGCTGTGCCCTTGTCTGTCACACCATCCCCAACGCCCAGCCTGGACCAGCCCATAGCCTCACTCAGTAACTGCTGAATGAAGGAGACTGGAGCTCTGGCAGACATTTAGTCCTGCCAGCCCAGGAGGCTGAGGCTTCACAGAAGGAGCCAGACTGGGACCCACCTGGATCGCGAAGTTGGCATATCCCAGACCAAGTTGTCGGCAGGTCACCATGGCTTCCATGAGCCCCCAGTGGTCACTGCATACAGTCCCCCAGCGTGGGACCCCATTCACCTCCACCTGCACCTCCACCACTCCCTCTTCGGGGTTGCGCCCACCAGCCAAGCGCACCTATAATAGCAGAGGTGTGTGAAGGGAGAAGCCAGGAGAACAGGCTGGGAAGCCTGCCAGAGAAGTGTGCTATGATCTACACCAGACACCACTACCACCGTCTCCTGTGTCGTGAGCTTAGTTCATTAGCTAGTGTGTGATGTCCATGCATGCTAGAGAAATCTGACTGAAAGTGTCTATGGCAGGGGCTTCTGCCCTGGACCATGCCTTCCTCTTACCTAACATCTCCCACCGTCAGTGATGACTCACTTTGCCAAGGGCACCTGTATCTGCCACCTTGTTGACTGTCAACCCGTTAGAGAGTTAACACCATTTCCCAAGACATCAGCCATTTGCCCACAGTCCCCAGGGCCGCTCCCCAGCACTGCTCTCTGGTGGCCCTGGCTTGATTCTCCGTCTTTCTCAACTTTGCTCAGGACCTGGGAGTGCGGGCCAATGTGTATACCGGTAAAGCCCCATGTCCCTCTGCCGTCTGTGGGACTGTATGTGGGGCCCAGTGACAGAAGAGAGTTCTTCAGGCCAGCCCCAAGGGCACTTGGACCACCGTGGCAGAAACAGTAGCTGTTCTTCTGAACCCCTCCCCCGGCTCCAGGTTGTGCCCGGGGGCTCCCCAGACCTGCCTGAGGGCATACTCAGACTTAGACCCACCTGATTTTGGAAGCCCATGTCAGGGATGTTGCACCTGACAGCAGCGTCATTTGCATGTTGACAACCATTCTGTGACCCTTCCAGGGCAAGGCAGTCACTGAGGGTCCGCTCGTACCCCCTGCAGCGTACCTCACTCAGGTGGATGGGTCCTAAGCCTGCAGGGAAGAGTGTGAGGCTTCTCTGTAAACCACACCCGTGACCTGCCCTCCCTGGAGAGTGAACTTTCTGTTCTAGGCTGCCAAGAGAGCCCGTGGCACATCTGGACCGTCCTGCACACCCCATACCTCCTTGCTCACCTTGGCCCAGCTGGGCCCCAAAAAGGGCCTCCCGGGCAGAGCCAAAGCCAAGCTGACGACACACGACGCTGGCTGAGATGAGGTTCCACCTGTGGTCACAGACTGTGCCCCACTGGCGGTTCAGGAGCACTTCCACACGGCCCTCACCCACCTGAGCCCCAGAGCGCAGGCGCACCTTCAGCTCCTGCTAAAGAGAGAGCTGGCTTCAGGAAGGGCAGCCAGAGGCAGAGCCCCCAGGATGGAACTCGGGGTGGGACTCCTGCAAGCTTCAAGGCCAGAGCCAAGGCCCAGATTCTATTCCTGCCTTTGACTTCCCACAACTATCCTTTTCTCAACCTCTGCTTCTTCAGTGACATGGTGGGGAGGGGGTTCCTACTATTTTTGAGGGGGGGGGTGTCTTTTTGAGACAGGGTTTCTCTGTGTAGCTTTGGCTGTCCTCGAACTCACAGAGATCTGCCTGCCTCTGCCTCCCGAGTGCTGGGATTAATGATGTGTGCCACCACTGCCTGGGTCTCACCTACTTTTTAAACAAAAGGCCAGGCTCAGATTCAATACCTTCACCCTCAAAGGGCTACAGCTACAATTTAATTACTGTTTTCACAGTTGCCTTCTATCTATGTTAAGTGATGGATGGGATGATAAATGGTCTCCTTAAACAACAACAAAAACCCAAGGTTCTTTCATTCTGTGAGGCCAGCTCCTCCTACCAGTATGGTTCCTCTCTCTGCTACCCACTGGGCAGCGGAGAGAGGTCCACTGAGAAGGACCCCCCCACTTTCAAGTTGGTCGAGAGTACTCTGGGACCTACCTCTGCACGGGACTCCTTGCGCCTGGGCTTCGGCTTCTGGGGGTGAAAGTGGGGCCCTACCACACAGCTGACCACAGCGTGCATGCCACCTGGACAGGCTGGCCGAAGCTTGCCCCTTCCTGGAGCCACCTGTACCTGGCACTTGGCCAGGTGGGGCTCTGTCCCCAGACAGTCAACCCGATGAATCCAGAAGGAATTCTTTTTTGTCAGGCTGTTCAGCCTGGAAGACAAGGAAATATGGGTGGTGGGCTTGAATGGGGATGCGGGAGCTCAGGGGAGAAAGAGGGAGGAAGAGAAAAGGGGATCAGAGGAGGAGGGGGAAGCCCTCCATGCCATACCCAAGTCTGCCCTCTAAAATATCACTCCTCACCTAGACTTGGAGTCCTTCATCTTCAGATTCCAGACTTTTCTGTGTAGAGAAAACAGATAGGGTGGAGGAGGGATGCAGGAATCGCCTGCCCCGATCCCTCAGTTCTGAGTCTATAGCAGACTTCGTATCATAGCTCATAGACTTTTCCCGAGACTTCGTATCATAGCTCATAGACTTTTCCCCAGACCTTCTCTTCCCCCTCCCCCTCCCCCCTTTTCTTTTCCTCTCTGTTTCTCCCTCTAAAGTCTCCACTGTGGTGGGGCTGCCACGGAATAAACAACTCATTCTTGCGGCTCCCAGTCCAGATGAAGGGATCCTTTAGGGGGTCTCTGAGAGAAGGCACCTGGAAAACATCCCCTGGGAACAGTAGCAGCCAAGAGCCTTGGTGGGGGGTTGGGGCAGGGTAACCAGGCAGGCTGTAACCAGAGCTGCTGCTCTGCTGAAGGGTGGTAAGTCCACAGGGCCTGATTTGCTGTTACTAGGTGGTGGGGAGCCAGGGGGCCATGTCCCCATCATCCCCAAGGATGGGGCCATATGGCTGCTCACCATGCTTTTTATTCAGAACCAGGCTGCTGTAAGCCAGAAGCAAGGGACTTGCAACTGCCCATAGATGAAGCGTGGCAACCCAGTAGGGGTGGGGCAGACTAGATGACGCAGAGGCCCCCAGGGAGTCCTCTGTCTTGAGAAATGCTCGAGGGTGTCACTGACACAGCTGTGGGGCTGGGGGGGGGGGGTTGTCTGTGGAGCTGACGCAATCTTCTCTGACAGTTTGGCCACATTTCTGACAGAGTATTTTTATGTCTCCTTTACACAAATTCCCCACCCCAGGCCTTGCTTGCATGCAACCCAATTATAGTCTGGCTTGGATCAGAGCAGGAGTTCCCTGGACAGCACAGAGTCCCCCCAAGGGGTGGTTGAGGGCCATGTGTACCCCAACCAGAGCTAGTTCCTGATGGAGCCAAGACCAGGATGCATTCTGTCTATATGTGCGGGCGACAATGTAAGGACCTTCAGTTAAATCCTGAACAAGGGATACAGTTTCCATCCAATTGCATGGGCGACAATGTAAGGACCTTCAGTTAAGTCCTGAACAAGGGACACAGTTTCCATCCAATTGCTTTCATTGTGTGCCACAGTCGGTTCTTTCCATTGGGTTGGCAAGCATGACTTTCTGACCACTTCTAGATGATTCTCGGGGCCTTGAAGTTCCTTGCTTACCCTTAGGTTTCTTGAGAGATCCATAACTCAGCAAGTTCAGGAGATGTCCCCAGTTGGTCTGTTTTCCTCCGTTCCCAACATGTGAGGACTGCACTACCACAGACCTCCACCCCATCAATGTGTCCCTCCAGAATCTCCCTGAACCCTTCAAGGTTCACACCACTCATGCTCGAACACACACGTCCAGCCCCTTCCTACCTGTAGTAGTGGCTGTTGACAGGTCCCTGGCTGGGAAAGCCCAGCATCCCGCACACAACCCTGCTGTTGTTCATGGTCCAGCCCTGGTCACACACCTGCCTCCAGTGGCCCTCGTACCGCACCTCCACAGCCCCCTCCGTCACTGGGCTGTGCCTTTTGGCACTGGCGAGGATGGGTTTGAGTCGTACCTCTTCCAGCCGCCGGCCCTGCAAGGCATAGAGTCACCTCACCATAGGCCATGTCCCTAGGGTCCTGGGTCTCCTGTAAGCCACTGCAGATCTTCCTGAGAAAGCCAGGCTCAGAGCCATCTTCCTGCCCCTCGTTGGTAGGCCGAGAGAACAGGAAGCATTTGCCGAAGACTGCAGGGGAAGTGTGAGCCGAAGTCTTGGTTTGTCTAGCTCTAACTGGGGTCAGGAAAGGAGCCCTCGGAGGATGGGGATATTCGATGGGCATGGAGGGGTCTTCTTTGTGCCACCCAGAAAAGAGTTGAAATGGGCAAGAGCAGTTGCTTGAGACCAGCCCCTGTATCCTGTGGACCCACCACCCTAGCTCCGAGTGACTTACACCAGTGTGGAGCCCACCATGGTGGCCCATTGCAGATCCAGTGTGCCAGGGCCACCTAGCTGTCCTCAGGCAGAGGCTGCCTGGCAGCAGAGGGTGGGAGCCGGCTCCCTGCCCTGCCCATTACTGTTGTTTGGCTTGAGCTGTTTTTAGCTTGGGGTTGTTTGTGCTGGGAAGAGGCAGCAATTGTGGCCAAGCCTTGTGGGTGAAGCAGTCCCCTTGCCCCGCGCCCACCTCCTCCATGGGGAACAGCTTCTGAGGTTCCCACCAGGCCTAGTGTCTGGTCCCTTGACTGATTCTACATTAATCGGGGGTCAGGATTGCTCAGCCCGAGTGCTACTCATTCCTTCTCCTTCCTCCAGGCTCACCCTGCAGGAGGCTTTCTGTCCTGTCCAGGCCTCGGCTCAGGACAGGACCTGAACAGCCTCCTCACCTGGGGCCCGAGGGCATTGGAGACCTTCTCAGAGTGGTAGCCACGCTGGCGCTGTGGGTGGCATACCACCCCAACATCTTCTGAGTGTCTGCAGTCACTGACGCCCCAGCCGTTGGATCCACACTGGTCCAGGGTGTCCTCGGTGCCCAAACATCGCACATTGTCCAGCCAGATGGGGCCTGTGGGGGAGGGGAGATGAGCTGAAGGGTGAGGAGAGAGACAGCCTTCTCCTGGGTGGGACCCTACACTGTCAAGCACAGAGGAGCAAGGGAGGAGGAGGAGGGAGTTGGTTCTCTGGGGAGTCTCGGGGCTGGGGGGTCTTAGTATCCACACCCCTGCCCACTGCTTCCTCTTGGAGACAGGTCCACAGAAACTGTTTCTGGCTACGCAGGTAGATCTAGTGATCAGACCTACCTGTCCTTCTGTCTACCCTCTATCCATCAGTCACTTCCTAAATACCCACTATGTGTAAATCACCATGCTCAGAGAAGTTAGATTAGTGATGGTGATGCTGGTGATCTCATTCCAAGAGAGAGTGGGAAGGTCAGAGCAGAGGTCACCTGCAGCTATACTCAGGAAGGGTCTTCAAGAGGCCATTTGAACTGGTCATGAAAGGTTGGATGGGCTTCTAGAAAGGTCTGTTGGAGCCTCAGGGAGCCTAGTTCTAAGAGAAAAAAAAGCTGGCTCCCATCTCTGCATCCTCTGGGGCAGTGTGTCACGGTCACTCACTCACCCTCCCCTTGGCCATACTTGGCACTGTGTGCCCAGGTCAAGGCTGACTCAAAGCCCAGTTGTCGGCAGGCCACAGTAGCCTCCTGGAGCGCGAAGTCGTCATCACACACAGTGCCCCACTGGCCCTGGTGCAGCACCTCCAGGCGGCCTTCCTCTGGCCTGTTCGCTGGACCCACCAGCCTGAGCTTCTTGGTGCCTGAGGACTGTAGCCTGCAGGGAGGGGCTTGGCCTAGCAGCAGCAGCAGGAACAGAGAGAAGGTGGCTGGTGGGGGCCACATCACGGTGACTTCAGGAGACCTGGGGAAGGAATGGACAGTGATCACCGCCTCCACCCCACCTCGTCTCCTCAACAGTGTGTAGGCAGGAAGAGCGGCCTGCTCACCAAATGCTGTTCCTGGAGCCTCCGGGAGTACCCTCAGGTCAGAAACACCTGCCTAGTGGTAACACGCTTGTCGGCCACCTGATGTTCCTGGCACCCCAAGTAAAGGGTAAAATGCTACTCCCCAACCCGCAAAAAGGTGCGTGGAATTCTGGGGTGGGCAGGAATATTCAGAGGAGTCAGGGCCCTTCCACCACTGCTGCGTGGCCTGGCCAAGTCTCTTAAATTCCAGGCCCCAGTTCCATATTTCCAAGGTGAGGAGGTTGAGCCAAATATCATCTGCTGTCTCCTCTGGCCTGGGTGGCCTGTCCCTTCAGCCACAGCCCAGGCCCATGCCGCTGTATGGCCCATGCATGGTTACACTCTTGGGACGGACCTTGCTTTGGTCCACTTGTTCAGCCAGGTATAGGGACATGCAGTGAAGCATTATATACTCCTCACCTTTACTACACACAGAAGGGGAGTTGGGGGAGGCTTTTAAAGAAGAGATGTGTAATCTGGGCAGGGTGGCTCCCACCTATAATCACAGCCCTTGGGAGATAGAGGCTGGAGGATCAAGTGTTCAAGGTCAGCCTCAGTTACATGTTGAGTTCAAGACCAGCCTGGGCCACATGAGGCCCTGTCTCAAAAACCAACTAACCAAATGAAGAAACAAACATAAAAAAGAGAATGGGCCGGGCGGTGGTGGCGCACGCCTTTAATCCCAGCACTCGGGAGGCAGAGCCAGGCGGATCTCTGTGAGTTCGAGGCCAGCCTGGACTACCAAGTGAGTTCCAGGAAAGGCGCAAAGCTACACAGAGAAACCCTGTCTCGAAAAACCAAAAAAAAAAAAAAAAAAGAGAGAATGGACCACTGAACCTGGTCTTGTTGGACGTATAAGAGTTCTCCCAGGCTGGAAAGGGGACAGTCCAGCTTAGAGAGGTCAGGGTGGGCAAAAGAAGGAAGAGGAAAAGGAGTAATGCAGGAGCAAAGCACAGGTACCCATCCCCCATCCCTGCTTGAGATTTGAAAGGGAAGGGGAGAGGGAGGCAGGTCCCAGATGATCAAGGGTCCTGTGTGCCTAGCAGAGCATGTTCCCTTCATCTTGTCAGAAATGAGGAACCCTGGGAGGGTTCAGGCAGGGACACATACATAGAGGGAGGGCCAAGCTGGGCCCCTTAGCGTTTAGCAGCCTTAGTCCTGGGACTGGAGGGTAGGGCAGGGCACAGAGATGAACCATGTCTGAACAGTTACTAGAGTCCTCTGAGGCCACTGCTGCTGAGTTTCCTCCACCCTGGCTCTGGGGGTCACTATAGGAGTGGAGGGAGAAGATTGACACCCTGCCAATACTTGTGTCTTCTGAGTCACACACACACACACACACACATACACACACACACACACACACACACACACACACACACACACACACACACAGACAGAGAGAGACAGAGAGAGAGAGACAGAGAGACAGAGAGACAGAGAGAAACACACAGAGGATCTTGCTTATACAGCTAGAGCTAGCCTTGAGTTTGGGACCATCTTGCCTCTGCCTCCTGACTCCGGGATTCCAGGATGTGCCCGTACAGCTGACCTCTTGGGGATTATCAGTTAGGACAGGTGAAGACATTAAACACTACTACTTATTCTCACCACACACAGAGAAAGAGAACTGGGAAAGCTTCTAAAGGTGGGCAGGTCAAACAGGAATGGGAACGTGTAATCCCAGCACTTGGGAGCTGGAGACAGGGAGGTCAAGAGTTGAAGGACAGCCTTAGCTACCTAGCAGTCCTGCTCATGGGGGAACTCATCAGCCGGTGTAGAGAAGGTCTCAGGCCCTGCTACTCCAATCCCCAAGGTTGGTATCCAGCTGAGAGTCACTCCTTATTCCTCCAGGACCCAGCACTGCCCTGAACCCTATGGCCTTGATGAATGCAAGGCTGGATGGTAGGGAATAGAAATATACCAGATGGCCTTGAGAAATGAGACTCCGTGGCAGTGAGGACTTCCTGTTGTATCCCCAGTGCCCAGAATGGTGCCAGATGTGAAGGAGGCACTCCAAACCCTCTATGGTTGCCTGTGTGGGAGGCACCATGGCATGGGGCTTGAGTTATGAGTCTTGAGACTGGGGAGTCAGACTGCCTGGGTTCAAATTACACCTCCCCACAAGTCTAGGTAAAGTGAGGCAACTTTGTACCTCAGTATCTCCCTTCTGTAAAATGGGGGTGACAGCGACATCTGCATGTACCAGATCAATAGGACTGTCCACTGGATGGACACAGCCAGTCCCTTAGAAGAGCAGCTTGAAGCAGCGGACCATCAGTACCAACAGCTCAACAAAACTGCTGGTCTCCACCTGTCCAACTGGGTCCTAGACTCACCCCTGTCCCTTCCACCTACACTGTGAAGTCAGACCCCTCCCCCACACTGAGGCTAGGCCCCTGCCATCTTCCACTGGCCCTACTGCACTCTTCCAGATGACACTCCAACTCAGGGGCCCCGGGGGCTTCTAGCTGGTCGTGACCAGAATGCTCTCTGCTGCTTCCCCGTGTCCCTTTCTCTCCTCTGTGCTCCTCTGAGGAGGGGGGCACCAGGGTTGGAGCCACACCAAAGAGAACATGTTCACCCCAGAGAACATTTTCTCTCCACAGAGGAGGCACAGGGCTCACAGCCTGGAGTCACGGGGTCTGAGTTGAGAGATGAGTCTACACTGCTCCTGATAGGAGTCAAGGAACTTCTAACTACCATCAGTGATCGTGTGGAGTCCAGGTTTCTGTGCACACCTGTGAAGCGAGAAGTGGTCCTAGGGTATAACACGCTGTTGGAGTCTCCGATGGATGGGCTGGGCTGTTCTGCTTTGGGGCTTGTGGCTGAAGTCCACACAGCATGGAGGAGGTCTCCCCAGAAGGCACAAGACAGGGATCTTCTGCTGCAAGATCCTGGGCTCTAAGCCAGGGCAATGCCCTTCCTTTCCAGCTACCAGGAGGCAGACCCTAAGAGGGGTTCCCTCCCATACTTCCCACCCACTCCGGGATCCCATAACTTTTACTCACGCCAAACTCTTCGCATCATTCCCAAAACAGAGCCTTCACTCCAGGTGCTCAAGTGTTTGCTCCCATCGCTCATTCTACTCAGACTCTCAAGACTCCTACACACACATCAACACCCAGTTCAAGTGCTACTTCCTCCAGTAAGGCCTCCCGGGGTCCTACCTTCCTATTTGTTTCTGCAGAACTGAATGCAGGAGGAGGGCTGGGCTGAGAATTAGCCCTTGGAGAAGGAAGCAGTCCCTTTTCTCAAGGGAAGAAGGGACTAGCTGGAGGGTGGGAGGGGGGATAGAATAGGAATGCCCGTTAGAAACATGTCTGAATAGGCATCTCCATTTTACAGATGGAAAGGTCAGGCACAGAGAAATGAAATAGCTGGACTGGCCGGGATTCAAACAGGCCGCCTGGCTACAGGCTCGGCTCTCAAAACCGCAAAGAGTGAAGGATGCTGGAGGGGGGTTGGGGGGGCTGGGTAGGTGAATGGAAGGAACAACAGCTTGTTGCTGGTTATGACTCAGGCTGAAGTGTGAGGGCACTGGTGTAGGTACCAGCCTTTCCTGCTAAGAGGGGCAGATCCAGGACCCTGGCAGCTCCAGGCTGAGCACCTGTGCCAGTAGGAAGGGCTAGAAAAGGGTGATTGCCCCAAGGATTACAAGAATGCGGGGAAGCTGCGCTGGGTCCCCAGCTGTGGGTCGCTGCTAGTCCTTTGTAGCTCTCTGAGGCCTGCTCCAGGCCCTGTACCCTCATGACATTATTGCCATGGGAAAAGCAGAGCCTGAAAATGGGCCGCCACCTGTATAGGGCTGGGGAAGGTGGAGTTTAAAGCCCTCTGCCTCCATTCCCTCTTCCACCTCGTCTCCAGAAGTCAGCTCTGGGTGGGTAATTGGGGGAGCCCAGCTCTGCCCTAGTGCTTAATAACCCAAATCGCAGGAGTGACATCTGGTCCTATTTTACCCTGTCCCTAGCATTCTTGCAGGGTGAGAAATGGTTTTACACAGTGTTCAGAAACCTAACACACATACTTCCTTGGGCCGGGGCGCACCACCCATGCAGCCTTGGAACCAACTCTCCCAACTTGGACACTTGTCCAGTGGGGAAGCAGGTTGTGACCCACAGGGGCTAGGCCGACGTGTCCATGGGGTCCCCCATCCCTCGTAGCCCCTCGGAACTCCCAGAGGCCTGCCCACCCGCGAGAGACAGGACAGACAGCAAGAGGCAAGCTGGGGAAATCGCGTCAAGCTGGAGCTCACCGGCTGGATCCGGAGGTTGAGGCTGGGCCGGCGCCACAGCCGAGCAGCGCTAACGGGCCTCTCGGGGCGCCCTGGGGGCTTTTTATCCGCCAGCCTCCCGCCCCCAGTCGGGGCCTTCCCCGGGGAGGCCGCAGGCCCCGCCCCGGGCGCGCCTGTGTGCACGGTCGCCCCGCCCGCCCGGCCGGCCATCAGCCAGGCGCGCAGCTCGGGACAGGGCCAAGCCGGGAAGTCCCGGGCGCTGCGGGGAGCGCGGGGGCTGATGGAGTCCCGGGAGAGGCGCTGTGGGGGCGATGATCGGGTCTGCGAGTCCCGATGCACGCGCAGTTTCCTCCTCTGTCTAACGGGAGATCAAGGCTGTGTCCCACTGACCTCGTGGCACAGAGCGTCCTGCAGTCTTAGGTCTGGATCCTGAATTCCAAGGGCTGCTTATGCTGGACAATGCAGGAGCCCTTTTTGGGGTGAGAGCCCTGCTCAGTGTTAGGGTACTGCTGCTACAGTAACAGGGGGTAGCTTCTCTGTGACTTGGTCCCCAAGGGTTACTGAATGCAGCCTGAGAGCAAAGCTGTACTCTGCTCATTGTGAAGTTCTGTCCCAGGAGACAGGACTTGCTTCCCAGAGTCATAAACCGCACCGGGGAGAATTTAAGACTTGGCCCTTGTCAGGCTTAAGGGGGTGGGGGATGGAGGAGCGATGACGGATAGTGAGGAGTGAGAGTCTGTGGAACATAAATGAAGGAAGGCCTGAGAAAGGGAGTCCCTAGCTCAAGTAGCTCCCAGGCTCCAGGCCTCAGACTTCCCAGTCTCGGTTGTCAACTCCTTCAGGATCCCACTTGTGAAATGGACAGAAGTTTTTCAGCTCCTGGTCCAGTCCCAGAGCAGCGAGTGGCTTGTCTCCCACCTCCTGTCTTGCCCAGGCGTCCCCCTGTAAGGGCTTCTTCATTCGGGACCCTCTGTTGATTTTCTCCTATGTGCTAGAAAGGGGGCCCCAGTGCTAGACACTGGCAGGGGCCTGTCCCAGTCTGGAGAGGGAGGGATGTGCAAATAAACGTGGCCTCAAGGCAAAAGGTCATGAGGGCCAGGATGGCACATGTCGGCCAGGTCACCCTCACCCTGTTGCCAGAGACCTGGGTCCACCCCTGGCTGCTCATGTCTAAGATGTCCCCCCAGTGGCCCTGCCCCACCCGACCTGGGCCCAAAACATTCCCTGGGATGAATCAACAGGAAAGAATGCTCCTAGCCTCGGGTCAGTGGCAGAGGCAGCAACCTGGCTCCTCCCCCAGGGACAATGAAGCGGCTGTGGACCAGGATAGCAGGTATGCGCGGGCCTCCGCCCTCTGCCCAGCCACCTCTAATGCTGAGCCAGGAGCAACACGGAGGGCCCCGCCTGCTGCCAGTCACCCACCAGGCCTGGCTGCCCAGAGCTAAAAATACCTTGGAGCCCAATGAATGAATTGATGTTGTCCGGAAGTCCGTACCTTGTAAGACGGGGCAGAGGCGTAATGGGCAGTGGATGAGGGTCTTCCTTGAGAAGTGAGGGTTTAGGCTTAATTGTAGTGGGATTTTCCGAAGGAACCATACCCTAATTCTTTTTTCTTTTTTTCTTCCCGAGACAGGGCTTCTCCGTGTAGCCCTGGCTATACTGGTACTCATTCTGTAGATCAGGCTAGCCTTAAACTCAGAGATCCACCTGCCTCTGCCTGGGATTAAAGGCATGTGCCACCACTACCTGGCTTCATACCCTCATTCTTAAGTGCCATTTTGTGAGGATCAAAAGGGAGAGCTCAGTTCATCTCCGCTGGCTGTGATTAGATTGAAATTCTGAAATTTAACTGGGCCTGCAGCTTCCTCCTTCCAGCCTGGCTGGACTCACAGGACCTCAGCCCAGTGTCTGATGCTCTACCATCCTCTTCTCAGGGAAGTCTGTGTCTGCCTTGCCGCTCTTTGACCTTCTTGTTTATCCTAACCAGGAGTCTTTTACAAGGCCTGGCACACAGCAGGTACTCAGTCACTACTCACAGATGGAGTACATGGGCCTAGGGGTCACAGGTCCCCAGACTGGTCCCAGAAAGACACAGACAAGCCACCTGTGGTCCTGTCCTCCCTTAGTGAGTTTGCCGAGTCCTAGGAGGGGATGCATACAACCAAGCAGCCAGGAGAGGCCCCTGCCAGGACCATGGTACCGACAGGAAGGTGGGGGACAGTTGCTGAGTTCCATCTCATTCAATCCTCTCAAAAGCCTCCGTGCCTCACAGTCTCACAGTTTTAATAACAGGTACTAAGATGGGGCAGAGAGAGGTTATACAACACGGTCAAAGCCACACAGCTATCATCCACGGAGGGTAGCCAGCGGTGAATGGAAGTAGAAACACAGGGCTGGAGGGTGAGGGGAGAGAGTCACCCCAAAAGTACCTTGTGCCCTGGAGGATCGCATGAGAGGGGAAGGTGAAAAGTAGGGTATGATGGCTAGTCCTGACTGTCAACTTGACAGGAGCCAGGACCACTGAGGAGACTAACCTCTGGCGTGTCTATAGAGGGATTTCTACATTGGGTGAGTTGAGGTGGCAGACGTTCACTAGCTGTGGGTGGCGCTGTCCCCAGTGGCCCTGGACCCGAAGGAGAAAGAGAGCTAGGCATTGCCATAATCAGTCTGCTTCCAGACGGCAAACGCAGCCTGAGCATCTACTTCATGCCCCTGCTGCCTGCCGCTCCTGCCCTGCCATGACGGGGGGGGGGGGGGGGGGGGGGGGGGGGGGGGGGGGGGGGGGGGGTGTGTATCCTCAAACTGTGAATAAAAAGAAACCATTCCTGAAATGCCTTTGTCACAGCAAAGAGAAAGTAGCCAACACGTGGGGTGATCAGGGAAAAAAGGCTTCCGTGCACTGGAGGCTGCTGTGCGTCGCACATACCAGGGAACTTCAATTCCAGCTCTGACAGCTGCGTGGCTCCTGGAAGTCGTCTGACCCAGCCAAGGCACTTCCTCCAGCATGTCTATCTCTCCTTTGCATCCCAGATCCCTCCTTGGCATTGCTGCTCCACTGACATCAAGTGCCTCACCAGTGTGCTCTGGCAGCAGCCTGGAAGCTGCTTTCCTTTCCTCCGTGGTCCCTGGCTCCATTATACCTCACACAGGCTGAGCCGTGTAAAGGGCTGACAGCCCTGCCTCTGCCTTCCTACCACCTCTGCTCAGAGCTCCTTGACGTAATTTTCCTGCTCTTCCTATCCCGGCTTAACTCAGATTCTAACTATGTCCCAGATTCTTCCATTAGAGCTCCTTGCGTGAATGCTCCCACAGTAAAAGGTGCTGGAAAACAAACACACAAAACCAAGCCACAGAGCTGAAGCAGACAGTCTGTGCCCTCAAGGATCTCATGGCTCAAGGGCATACAGAGCTGTGAGGAAGGTGGACTGTGATCATGGAAATCGGGGCGCATGAGGGAGCACAAACCAGCAAAATGGGCTCTTCCCTCCGTGGGAGACGTTTAGCAGGCATGGCTGTGGGAGCTGGGGGACCTTTCGGAGGAGGTTGGGTTGGTACTGTGAAGAAAGAAAACGTAGCAGGGAGGGTGATGGGCCAGGAGATGATTCCCAGGGAGAGAGACGGGGTAAGCTGGCAGCAAGAAGAGGAAACCATGGGCAAGACAGGAGGGGTTTGTGTGACACCTCTTCCTTTGGGAAAACTAATGAGAATTCTCTATTTCCAAGTGAAGTTTGGAGTTAGACAGCCTTACCCCAACATCCACAGGGAGCCAGGGTAAGAATCAGAGGGGCCTCATTCCATACATATGCCTAAGTGTTTACAACTTATAAATCACTCTGACTGCTAAATAAAACATTGTCTGTCTTCCAACCCTGATGTGCACATGCATACCTTTAGGGAAACCTACCAGGCCTGAGTTCAGAACTTTCCAGTGCTTACAGCTCTGGGTGGGACATGTCATTACGGATCCTTTTCTAGCCTTGGGTCCCCATGTATTCAGTCCATCTTCTGCCCTTTCTCCATCCCACGACAAGGGGCCTTGAGCTGTCACAGCTCCCTAAGCGGGGCAGATCTCTGCACACATGGTCTTGTACTGTGCCCGGTGCACACCTCGGAGGGGCGGGTCATTCAGCTTTGGGGCTATAAAGGGGGAGGGTTCCCCCAGGAGGACAGTGAAGACGTGTGAGCTGGGCTGAAGTTGAAGATATTGAATAGGAAGGCTGAAGAGTGAAGGGTGAGAGAGAACACTAGAACCCAGGACACGGGACAGGGACAGAAACAGCCTGGCCTGAGAGCTGTGAGCTTCCAGCCCCGGAGCCAGGTGGGAACTGACCTCCTCAGCAGGGGTGTGTGTGTGTGCGCGTGTGCGCGTGTGTGTGTGTGTGTGTGTGTGTGTGTGTGTGTGTGTGTGTGTGTGTGTGTGTGACAGCTTTCTGAGGAGGTGTGGGTTCAGATTTTAAGAACCTGGTACTTTTTAAGCACTGACTGGAGTGGGATCCAATTCCTCATGTTCACACCTCGGGCTGGGGTTGGGGTGGAGCGAGAGCTAAGGAGTTTCTAAGCAGTGAAGTGCTAAAGGCGGGGTTCAGATTCCCACCTGCATGTCTGCCTCTGCTTCCGGGATTCCCACAGATGTTCAGACCTTCAGTTTTGCTTGCTACCAACAACGTGATGCTCATCTCTTCCCCAGAGCCCCTTACTTGCCGCTGTAGCGTCACTTCACCTCACTCCCCCAGCTTCTCATGTCTGACTCCTCACATGGGGAAGGCTGAAGTCACCATCCCCCCCCTCCCCCACTGCCATCCTGACATTCTCTCCCTCCCTCCAGACCACTCTAGACCCATCTCCCTTCTCTCCCTCTTACCCACAGACCCTCTCTCTCCAAGACCTCTCCAGCTCCTTCAGAAACACCCCCCCACACACTCCTGTGCCCTGATCCAGGGTCACCTGCAACCCTTCGATTCCCTGTCTCAGCAGCTAAAAGTAGGCACGGCACAATGCCCGGGCATGCTTCTGTTCAGGTAAATTAAAGCCATACATTCTGAGGGAAGATCAGACTGAATGAAGACAGTGCCAGAGCCGAGAAGCCCCTGAGGTCCCGTCAGGAGTTCACCATGACTTCTGTGCCCTTTTTACCCACCAGTAATTGAGGCCCTTTTTCCTCACATGGCA